AGCTATATAATGATTTCAAAGTCAGCCTGGGCTACAGAGTGAGACTTTGTCTCAAACAAAAACAAAAGCCCTCAATATGTTATGTGATGAAACTTTTATAACCAGCTCCCTTTTTTTCCCCTTGGCTATCTGCTCATTTACATTCTGTCTTCTTTGGAAGGGCAAATCTAGGATGTGCAGCATAGATCTTACTTTAGTCGATTTCCCAGCAGAATACAGCATTTAAGGTTTATCTCTAATACTATTTGAAAATCGTATTTTAACTTTAAAATTAATTACATCTATATGTACAGGTTTGTGCATGTGAGTGCCATGCCAATGGAAACCAGAAGGCAGAATCCCCTGGAGCTGGAGTCATCTGTGGGAGTAAGCCTGGCGTGGGTGTGGAAAATCAAACTCAGGTCAACTGCAGGAGCAGAATATTCTTTGTTCCCAGTACTGGAAAGGGTTAACTTTTAAGAGACTTCAGAAAGGGCTCTACAAAGCTGTGGACTGTGCAAGGGATGCTGAGTCCCTTAGTGGCTAGCCAAGTGCAGATCTGCCCTCAGGCATGAGAAAACTAAGCAGTTTGGGACAGACAGCCATGGACCAGGGCCCCCTCAGTAGCAGGCATAGCAGGAGCAGGCCATGTCCATTGCCAGAACAGAGGCAGGGGTTGGAGGCTACCTGTTTTCTTGTCAGCGTGTCTTGCATTTTTCCTGGTGGCATAAAGATGGATGAAGTTATCGCCTCACCAAGTTTGTTCTGGAACTATAATATCCCTCGACCGAAATGGAAATTTTCACTTGAGGAAATAGAACAGTGCTTCCCAGAAAAACATCCTTTGCCAGCTTCACTTGTATATTGCAGTGTTTAAAGGAACCGTTATTAGGCTGGCTGTTTCTGCAGCAAGTTGTTTATCCTGGAGTTGTTCTCAGAGTCCTACAGTGTGCACTGCCATGTCCCATCTGTCTCTAAACACAAAAACAACCACCTCGCTTGCAAGACTGTGGGAAAATACTGTCTTTAGAGTCCCCCATGATAAACATTCCCCTTAGTTCCAGAAATTGTAGGCTTAGTCCAATCTATTCTTTGATCTTAGTGTCATCTTAGGCTTAATCAGACCAGTTATTTCTGAGAGTATCGTGTGTGGCAAAGAACAGGGCAGGCACAGGTCTGCTGATTGGAGGGAGATTAATAAGGGCTAACAAAGAGGAGTTGCCCTAGGGAGCCTGGTGTAGTATGGATCTTGAGGCCAGAAGATCACTCACCTGGCCCTCATTCTGCTTTGCCTCTCCTGTAGAAGCAGGGGCATTTGAAATGTACCCATGTTGGTGGCCATGACTGTGGTGGCTGCCCTTATTTGGTTAGTGGGAAAGAGGCTGGCCACCCTGAAGGGATCTATGATTTGGGGTTGGAGAGATGGCTCAGTGTTTTTGTTGAGTGGTTGCTTTTGTACAGGACTTGAGTTTGGCTCCCAGAACCATATGTTGGGTGGCTCATAAACACCAGCTCCAGGGAACCTGATAACCTCTCCTGGTCCTCATGGCCACCTGCACTCGAATGTGCATAGTCTCACATGAATACAAACATACACATATTTTTAAAGTAAAAATAAATTCTTAAAGGGATCTTTGGAGCCATCTTGGATGCTCACATTGTGAGACACTGAAGTTTAAACTCTGTTGCCCTTTGAATAAGATGTCTGCCAAGCAACATACCAAAGCTGGCTATTTTAGAAGAGACTAATTGGGATAGCTGGAAATAAAGTTGATCCCTATCTCCTTCCCCCACATCCTGTCACTGGAAGGACCTCATCTCCCACAACTTCCCCCAACCCAGTCTCCTTCTTTGCATACATCCCTCCAGGCTGTTCTGTCCCTCCTCTGCCATGCAATGCTCTCCCACAGTTATTCCCAGGAAGTCTTTACCCATCTCTATTCAGCTCAGAAGAGTTCTGCTACAAGAGCTCTTTCTATTTCCCTGGCTAAAATGTGAGCCTGCCAGTGGGTGGTTGTGGTGCAGTCCTGAAATCACAGCATTTGGGAAGGAGAGATAGGAAGGTCATGGGTACTTAGCAAGATCCTGTTTTGAAGAAGAATGGATGGATGGATGGATGGATGGGATGGATGGATGGATGGATGGATGGGTAAGGAAGAAAGGAAGGAGGGAAGGAAGGAAGGGAGGGAGGGAGGATGCCAGTTAGCTGCACACATCCTGCCTACACTAACCTTCTTTGCACTATTATTTTTCTCTGCAGCATCACCCCTGCCTGATGCTAGTTCTCTCTTTGCTAACTGTCTGTCCCACTCTGGATGAGCGTCCTCAGCTTTTCCATAGCATTGTTTGTTTCCTAATCCAAGTCCCATTTCTTCTTTCGTCCCCACCCTAGAGCAGTAGAGACCAGCTACACTTTGTCCATCACATTGACATGTACTTTTGTCAAGAAAGACAGGTCCTTGTTTTCCCCAACCCATCTCCAAATGATTAGGTCTTGTGGCCTTTCACTTTGCATAGTCAACTCTAGAAGGAAATGACCTTGGCATTCAGAACATTGGTCAGCTGATGGCTGCTGCTTCAGGAAATGATGAGGGCCTGTTGGCAGGAAAGGAAGGCAGTGTTTATTTTCCGGTCCTATTTTTGTGCCCAGTATGGTGTCTTACAAAATCAGGGGCCTAAAATATCCTTGTGAAATGACTGGGTCTCCTTAAACCTCAACTAATCATAATTTTAATTTTTTTAGGGGGAAACATTTGGAAGGACCTTAAACCATTAATTATCTAAAGTAAGGTTTCATTTCTTTGTTGAGACTGTCTCATGTAGCTAGGCTGGCTTTGAACATTTGATCCAACTACCTTTACCTCCTTGGAGCTGGGATTCCAGGCATGTGCCGCCATGCCTGGTTTATGTTATGCTGGGGGTTCATTCCAGGGCCTCCTGTATGCTAGGATCCTCCCAACTCAGCTGTAGACTCAGCCCCAGTCATTCTGATTTTTGATGAGTATATACCAGCAACTATATAATGAATAAATCCAATGTTCAGAGACATTTCTGTTCAACCATTCATAAATATTCAAATTAGCTAAGCCAAATTTTTATTTTGTTTGTTTGTTGTCACCATCGTTGTTTCCAATTTCCTCTTCTCATTTTGGTGTCGAGACATAGTACTTGGTATTAGATCTAGGACATCATTCTTGCATAGAAGGAAAACAGTCTTCTATGACCTCAGCCCTGTTATACACTTGAAAATAAAACAAAAACTAGGGAGGTGGTTAGCAAAAATAAAACCAGTTGGCATCGAAAACGAACTGTAATATGTAACATGACTGATGACTTTAAATGTTCCTGTGTCCTGAACGCTTAACTCCATTCTACAAACACCTGTGGGAGGCCAGTGATTACATGATTTTTACAGACAGCAAAACTGAGCTAGCTCCTGATGGACCTGGACCGCAAGCTTCTGAGAATGAGGAAGGTGGACAATTCAAGGACTGCTTAGGTTACAGAGTTCAAGACCAGTCAGGGCAACTTGGTAAGGACCCTCTCTCAATATAAAAAGTAAAAAGAGGGCCCACTAGTGAAGTGCTTGCCCATCAGGAATGGAACCCTAGGTTCAATTCCCCAGAACCATGACAAAAAAGATTTAAAAAATTAAGCCAGCATCTGACAGAGCTAGAGTAAACCCTGTCACATGGACTAAAGAGTGTGCAAAGCCAGTGGGCCATACAGGAAGCGGCTGTTCTCATGGGAGGGAGCCCAGGACGGTTTCCTAGAGGAGCCACGAATAACATAAAGAATAAGTGGAAACTGAGCTGTGAGGTGACTCAGAGGGTGACATGCTTGCCTGACAACCTGAGTCTAAGCCCTGGGACCCTCATGAAGGTGAAAGGAGTGGACAGACTCCTCTGAAGTTGCCTGCTGACCTCCACATGTGTTCATACACATATCACACACACACACACACTTTAATTTTTAATTTAAAAAATTTGCAGACAGGGTCACACTATGTAGTCAGGCTGGCCTTGAACTCACAGACTCACAGATCCATTTACCTCTGCCTCCCCAGTGCTGGTGTTAAAAACATGCACCGCCATGTCCAGACATAAGCACTATACTTTTTAAGTTTTCTTTTATGTGCATTGGTTTGCCTGAATGTATGCCTGTATGAGGGTGACTTAACTGGAGTTACAGACAGCTGTGAGCTGCCAGGTGTGTGCTGGGAATTGAACCCAGATCTTCTAGAAAGGGAGTCAATGTTCTTAACCACTGAGCCATCTCTCCAGCAACTGTCTCCCCTTCCCCCCGTTACAGCTTCATTAGCCTGGGATGCTAGAAGATACTTTAAACATGTAGGGGGATATGCACCCGAGTCTTGACTACCCACAGACATATTTGGGCAGTGTAAGGTGTGGGGACATGCCACTCTTCAAGTGGAGACACAGCAGCTACTATTTAAAGTCAGCCTTTCTCCAGTGAGAATATTTACCTGGGGCCCACACATTTTGTTTTCTTAAAGTGCAATCAACAAACAGCATCGCTTCCTTTCCCAGATGTGTATTCTAAACCTTTGTGTGTGGCTATGAGTGAATCTGCCTGGAGCGAGAGCACCCTCCTGTAGGCACTCATGTCACACCCAGGCTGACACTGCTTTCAGAGTCCAGTAAACTTGTTAAGAGTTGTATGACCCTTCCTGCTGCTCACAGAGAAGCCTGGCTTTGCTTAACATGCAGCTGGTAATTTTACAGGTTGGATTTATCATCACTCTTGGTCAAAAACCAAATATTGCTACTTCACATCATCAACATATTTTTTTTTTAAACCCAGAGAGATATAACAGACCATCTATCCAGAGACAGCCTAAGTGAATCTTATTCTTGTGTGCTGGACTTGTTAATCTGCATAACTAAAGGAAGCCAGGTGGCCAGCGGCGCCACGTCCACAGCGCTGTCTCACTGGACAATAACAAATTGTATATAAACTGGTTTCCATGGTTTATCTGTCCGCTTTGCAGGTGGCGGAGGAGATGCGGTTTGTCTCTTTGCTTGTTAAGCAGTGAGGGGCGTCACATTTACTCCCAACACATTACAGACAAGAGCTTCATAAATATTAGGCTCTTTGTGTAAGAAAGGAGTCCGATCTTGACAGATTGAGAAATGATTGCCTTCACTTTGCTGGCTTGCCTGCACTTTATGTTACCTTTTGTTTCTCCTGCAAGAAATATTTCTCTCAAGTGCATGCGAGACACTGCTGAATTCCTTTCTGATCTACATGCACTGAAGCCCAAAGAATACGCTCTGAGAAGTAAGTAGGTACTTACTTCTTGGTACCCTCTTGGTAGCCGAGCATAGAACAGTCTGCCATATTTGCTAGAAGCATTCTAGACTAACCCATGAGAATTTTAAAAGGCACCAAGCAGGAAAGAGAAGATGAACCCAAGGGCGGGTGAGGAGCATTGTCATTGTAGAAGGCTGTTAATGAGAGAACTGTTCCTAAAAACTGTGTGCCATACTAATGAAATCAATAGCATTTACATTGTACCACAAGCCTGGGCTTGTTTTTGAGACATTTGATGTGCTTCTGATAGTGAGTTGTTTTCTTATTTAGTGAAACCAGCTCATCTGTTCTGTGCTGATAGTAGCAAATTCGAAGATGTATGTGGGAAAATGCATGGGCTCAGCTGAGCCATGAGACCTCTTTGCATGTTCCTTGTCTGGCCTTCACATAGTTGCAATTTGGTTTTTGTGTGTTTCTCAAAAGTATATGCATACCTTTCTGTCAGAACAGAAGCTGAAATCAAGGGTACCTTCTCCAGGAGTGAGGGTCATTGTTGTTGCTGACGGAGACCATGAACAAGAAAAATGTAAAAACCCCTGTTAGGGCCAGATAGACTAACGTATCCATTTCCATTTCTATTTAGAATACAAAACCACCTGTATCATAATAGAGAATAAAAGTAGATCATTTGGATAATCCAAAATGCCATGCCATTTGAAGCAATGTTGTTCTACATGGGGCCAGGATTTGATGATATGGTGGCAAAATATAAACTCAGTTAATTCAACAGATATTTTGTTTAAGTCCTACTTTGGAGTTGATTATGTTTCATAACAATACTTGGTGATAGTAATAGGGGATGTTACAACTGAGCCAGGCAACTGGCCAAGAGACTCCAGAAGGTTTGACAGCAGGCACAGATTTTTGGGACTGAGATGGCAGCACACAACAGTCACAGTCATGTGATCACTGTCAGCCTTGCAAGTCTCTCTACCCATGTGCTCCCTACACATGTTCTGTCTACAGGTACCTGGGAATTTAAAGGTTTCATTTTTCTTTTCATTAAAATAGAAATTTTCCAGGCTAGGGAAACAACTCAGTTGTAAGGTACTTAACTATGCAGTTCGACCCCAGCACCCACACAAGAAAGCTGGGTGTGGTGGTCCACACTTGAAATTCCTGTACTGAAGAGGCAAAGACAGGTAGATACTTGAGGTTTGCTGGTCTACCCTGGTCAGTGAGTCCTCGCCAGTGAGAGACCTGTTCCCAAAGTCAAGATGGATTATTCCTGAGGGACAACACTGAGGTTGACCTTTGGTCTCCGTACTTCTGTACACACATACACCTGCATACACCTGAACATACACCACCCCCACAAATGTGAATGGAGAGATGACTGTCGGTTTACTGCAGTGGATAAGTGTGTCTGTCTGTAGTGGCTGTGACTTGGCACAGTTGCTTTGACATTCGTTTGAGAATTTTGAGCACAGAATGTGCTATTGACCTTGGTTCTCATCAGGATTTTCCTGGTGGACGTTTGGAAAGAAAGTAAGTGAAGAGTGAGTACTTTGACATAAGTAGTAAATGCCCTTTAGAGCCTTGTATAGGAATTATCCCTTTGGGGCTTTTCAAATCCCCTTTATGGAAGGGGAGAGTTATTGCTGTCTAGTTGTTGAACAAGGAAATAGAGTCATGGAGATGCAAAGGGTTTGGGTGAATTAAGTTGTGGGATTATGCTTTGAGCCTATGACATCTGATTCCAAAGCCCTTCTGTCTCTGTCCACATTATATATCCCTTCTCAGTCTGCACGATGTTACTTGTACTTACGTTTTGAGGGCTGACCATTTGGTATTGAATGACTAGTTGGTGTGCTTATCCCTGGGGAAGACTGTTTCTCCTGCCCTCAATATTTCTTAGTTGCCTGTAATTCTTTGTGTAGGGTTCAAACAACTTTAGTGCGTCTATTGGTATCATCTGTGTTCTTCTCATGTTTAGGCGGTCCTGCTGCTGAGATTTTATGAGTGTAGCTTCTGACATTATTAGAAGACACAATCTGATAGCAAATTTCCTGACCCTCTGGCTATTACAATCTTCCTGTCCCACTTCCACAATGTTCCCTGAGCTTTAGCTCAGGGAGTTGTTTTGTAGATGTATCTGTTGGGCCTGGGCTCTACAACTTTGCATTTTGATTTCTTTTTTTTTTTCTTTTCTTTTCTTTCTTTCTTTTTCTTTTTTCTTTTTGGTAATAGTTTCCTTCTATTGCAAAGAGAAGTTCCTTGATGAGGAGTGAAGACTACAGTTATCTGTGGGTATAAAGACAAATAGTATGTACTATATTGGTTTAGTAAAATGGTGGTTGTAGGTTCTCCTCCTCCAGGATCCATGACTGGCCCTGAGGGGTTGGCTTGGTTTCCAGCACTAGGTCTGAGTTCCCACTTTTTGAGCAGGTATGAAGTCCAATCAGAGGGCTGTTGGTGACTGTAAAGGCACTCAAGCCAATACTGCACCCTGAGGGTTATAATGCCATGCTGGCTCTTACTGTGGTTCACAGGCATCACAGCTGGGGAGGACGAGTGATTATTTCCTTCCTTTGGAAGCTTGCATGGCACCTTATAATACCATGAAAGATAGTCCTCCAGGAGGAGGCTTTCAAATCGACAAGTCCTTACCTTTGATTATTGCCTAAAATATGCAACCAGAAAAGACAAAGACAAAATGCAGCCACAAAAAGGAATGGGTGGTACATCTATCAATATCCATGCAGCCAGAGAAATGGCATCAAGAGGGAATACAGTACCTAAATTTAATCCAGTTAAGGAAATTAAGGCTGTCTGCTGCTAGTTGTATGCAGGTGTAAATATTAAGGAAGGTATTTAAATAACAGCATCCCCCTGTAGTCTGGGTAGCATGGAGGCGGTGGTGAGGGTGGGGTACAGCTGGGGTCACACTCAATTTCAGATAATTGTTCATGGTTGTTTCAATCAGAGTGGCGAGAACACAGGTATTTCTGTTATTTGCACCTTCTATTGCATAACTACATTTTAAAACACTTTCTCCAATCCAAAGCACAAAGATGGTAATGGGCTTGGGTTGTGTGAGGCTGGATAACATGCCAGGGCCTTGGAGAATGGTATGGCAAGAAGGTCCTTGAGATCTATGTAGAGATGCTTGGTTCTTGTAGAAAATAAAAGGTGGTGATTTAGAGCGACTCTGAGTGGGAAGAATGCGTTAAAGGGTATATTCCTTTTCTTTTTAGGAGCCTCACACAAGCTAAGCAGGTGCTCTACCACTGGACTACACACATTCTTATCTATGATGGGGAAGCTTTTGGCTTGGACTGTGTTAGTATAGTGGCAATTCCCGCTGAGCTGCCACACTGGCTTTCTACCTCCACAGTTGGGTATAGCACATCGGGAGGCAGAGTCAGTATGTTAGGAAGGAACTGAGCAGTTGCTGCGAGTCAGGACTTTTATTTTTCAATACTGAACAAGCAAAAAAGAAAAATGGGAACGCTTTTTTGTAATCAATCTGTTACTGGATTCAGGACGCAGCAAGTTGCTCAAGTCACACAAAAATGCATGCAGTTTTGTCGTACATTTTGTTTCAACTTTGTATTGCTTATCAAGGCAAATGAAACAAGCACCAATGTTCATGCTGGGATCACACCTGTTGGTGAGCAGAAACCATATGGTGTGGCTACAAGGGATAAGAGGACATTCATTGAAAGCAGTCTACTTTCAGAATTTGTACTGAGGAATATTATAGAATTCTTTTTTATTTGTAACCTGTGGTGTTATAGATTGAATTGTGTTTCCCAGAATTCATATATTGAAGTCCTACCCAAAGCATTGCAGTGTGTCACTTCGTGTGGAGATAGGGGTCTTTAAAGAGACAATTAAGCTAAAACGAAATGAATAGAACTCTAGTCTGTTGCTAGGTTAGGACACAGACATGCTTGGAAGAAAGACTATGTATGTGAAAATATGTGGTGTATATATGGGCCCATCTGAACCATGGGGAACAGCCTCAGAAGAAACCAGCCCTGCCCACATTGCCATCTCTGATGCACCATTTTGCAGAACTATGAGGAAAAGTATGCCTGCTGGTGAAGGGGCCGTGTGGCACCTGCTGGTAAAGGTATCATGTGGCCTTTGTTATGACAACCCTTGCAAACTAATCATGCACCATATGTCCTTTGTACCAGTGTAAACTATAATATGCCTTTCTTGAAAGACGTGGGTTGAATCGTGTCTTCACAAAAATGTTTATAGTGCAGGGAGATAGCTTAGTTAGTAAAACACTTTCCTTGAGGGACCTGTGTTTAGTAGTCCATGCTTATAACCCCAGTGCTGGGGAGGCCAAGAGAGAGCTCTCTGGCTGGGGCTCACTGCCCAGCTTGTGCAGTCTATTTGTTGAATTCCAGGTTAATGAGATACTTTGTGTTCTCTGGCCTTTTCTCACACATAAATGCATTTACATACCTGTGCACCTGCACACACATGAACATGCATGCACACACAAAAGTATGCTTGCTTACACCTTGACCTCTAGTACTTACTTGGAAATAGCATCTATGTTGTAAATAGTCAAATAACATAGCGATCAAACAGTGAGATTAGAGTGGGTCCCAGTGTAAGGGCCATTGTCCTTAAAAGGGGGAATCTGGTCACAGACAGGCATAGGGAAGAACGTGACTTAATGGCAAAGGTTCCAGCAGCCAGAAGTTAGCAGATGCCTGCACTTCCCCAGGTATGAGCTGCCCTGTCCCTACTTCAGACTTCTAGTCTCCAGGATCGGAGGGTAGGTTTCTAAGGTTTAAGCTACTCTAGGTGTGGGAACTGTCAAGATAGCTATAGAACAAGAAGACAGACGCTAATATAGGCTGTTTTGACCTCCCAAACGAACTTTGCAGAATTAAATAATCTGTTTATGGCCTGGAGTGGAAAGACAAAAGCCCATATATCTCTGGCGAGCAGTCCAAGCCTAAAATATAGTGGCACTGTTTGCAGCCATCTGTCAAAGTCCAAGCTTGCCCATTGCTGATGCTGACCACAGCTGAGGCCTTGAGTGGAAGCGATACCATATGTACATCCCAGGACTTCTGACTTTGCCTCCATTTCATTTCTTCAGACAGAGTGGTAGGGGAGGATGGGTGGCCAAAAGTTCCCAAGCAATCTGCAGGGCTTTACATGTCTGGCTTCTGATTATCTCATCCTCACCACATTCCCGAATGGCCCTTTTCCTCTAAATAATGTTTTAACCCTGCACACCCTTGGTCCCCACCTCAAGTATCTTAGCCCAGGCTATGATAGGTTGCCCAGCTTCCTATTTTGAATGCATAGTCTTTTTGGCTTTGTTGCTTACTTACTTCCTGTAGTCACTGTTTTATCTTGTCTGTATTCCTAGACACCAAGCCCCACAGGGGACCTTTGTCAGGGGAGGCAGTTGATAGTGAACACTCCACAGGGCAGCACCAACCTGAGCTAGCATGTAGGTACCCTTTGGGAAGAAGTCTGTTGCAGTCTACCATAGTATGTGGGAGGGTTTTGTTGCATTGTTTGCACACATCTGTGTGTGTGTGTGTGTGTGTGTGTGTGTGTGTGTGTGTGTGTGTGGTGTGGTGTGGTTTTGGAGATTGAAGCTAGGGCCTTCCATATGCTAGGCAATGGAGGTATGGCCCAGTCAGTCTATTTGACTGTTCAGTGTTTGGCTAGTGTCTGTTTTACCCACCCCGCTGTCTGTTGGGAAGGGATTTTGTTTTTGTTTTTGCTTTTGCTTGGACCAACACCACAGAGACCAAGAAAACCTCCTACTAGAGAGAGGGTGATCTTGGAACTATCAAATGTCCATGCAGGACTGAAGGTGTGGCTTGGTGGCAGAATGCTTATGCTACACAAAACAATATCAAAACATCCATACTGTGATAGGATAGTGTGATCCATCCTAAAAGAATCTGCATCCTGGGTGAGCATGGTGATGCAAGCTGCAATTCCCCACCCTTTGGGGACAGAGGCATGTGTCTGTAATTCCCCCGTGGTCAGGGAACGGAGGTAGGAGGATGAGTTCCTTAGGCCATTTAGAGAAACCTTGTTAAAAATAGCTCAGTAGCAGAGTGCATCCTCATTTCTACCACACCCTGGTCTTAATCCCCCCAGAGCCATAGGGAAACAAGCCCAGAAAACTGCATTTTAATACCTACATGTCATCATCACCACTGCAGGAAAAGGAAACATCTGCCAGTTAGGGCAGCTGATTGAAACTTGTTGCTCTCAGTCGTTTGGACATGAAAACTCAGAACAAGTGTGGTGATGTGCAGTATTGTGCCCTTCTTCCTGATCCACTCCTCCCTCCCTAGGATACAGCGTTCTGATCTGGACTGTGCTGGCATCCTTATGTTGCTTAGGTTCTTGATGGAAACTCTTTAGGGTGGTGCCCAGAAAAGGGCAGTTTGTCATGTGAGCCCATAGTCAGAAAGGAACGCAATGCAATTTGAAAACCAAATCACATAGCTGGAAAACTGCCAAAATTATCAGTAGAGAAGGAAGCAAGAACAGAAGCTTCAAACAAAGAACTGGGAGCTCCAGGACATGTGTCTTGCAGACTCTGCCCCACCAGGGCTTAAAGCCCAACTGTGATCCCATCCTGTTTCCTTACTTGACACTTACAAATCCAGACCCTTACACTTCAGGATACATAGCTAGCTAGGGAGATCTGTGATGGGAAACATGATTGACAGCTCTGGATGTCCTAGAACTCACTTTGTAGACCAGGCTGGCCTTGAACTCACAGAGATCCACCTGCCTTTGCCTCCCAGGTGCTGGGATTAAAGTCATATGTCATCACCACCCAGCTGAGAAATGTAATTTGGAAACCACTCTAATCTATTTACAATGAACACATGTTTCTAGTGTTTTGTGACGCAGGGGAAACCTCAAAATAATATTTTGGAGCTGGATTTGAGCATTTGGACTAACCTTGTCAAAATTTAAGCCAATTCAGCCAATATCCACAAAGTTCTACCTCTAAGATGTACACAGTGGTGACACACCTGTCAGTGTGACACACTGACAAGCTGGATTGTTTCCTGGGAGAGATAGGCCTCTAGCCCAGACTTGAAGGATGACTCAGTTATTACCAGTGGACTGGGAGGAGGGACAGCCCAAGCTGGAAGGCCAGCAAGTGTTAGCCTGGTACATCTTCAGACTGGTGCAAAGGGAATGTTCTGGCAATGGCTGGGAGGGTGAGACCAGAGGGCAAGTCAGGACATGAAGGGCCCTTTGAAGCCCTGCTCAGGAGTCCAACAGAAATCTTAGTGGCCAGAGAAGTCACACTCGGCCTCACATTAGTATCACCAGGGAAATATTCTTGTCCAAGCATCACCCTTGACCTCTTCATGCTTTATCCTCTTCCCACAAATGAATGAATAAAGCGTAACTAAAACATGAATCTGAGTTAGTACAAAGAAAAAGAGAAGGGGCTGGGACTGTATCTTAGGAAGAACGCTAGCCTTGCCTGCAAGAAGGTCTAATTGAAAACTTGTTTTGTTTAAAGGGAAGGAATAAAGGAAAGGAGGAAGGAAGGAAGGAATAAAGGAAAGGAGGAAGGAAGGAAGGAATAAAGGAAAGGAGGAAGGAAGGAAGGAATAAAGGAAAGGAGGAAGGAAGGAAGGAATAAAGGAAAGGAGGAAGGAAGGAAGGAAGGAAGGAAGGAAGGAAAGTTACAGTTAAGAAATTGATGTCAGCATTGTGAGAAGCCCCTGAATTCTGCAGGTTGTGCCTGGAGTCCTGTGAGAGGTAGGTGTGTGTGTGTGTGTGTGTGTGTGTGTGTGTGTGTGTGTGTGCATGTGTGCTGATATGTGCATACTTGTATATGCATATGTGCACATGTCTCCCTGTGTGCATGTGTTCACTTGTCCTCCCAGGAGTACAGTCATCTTCCATCTTCAAAATGAGGTCAAAAGCTGCTTGCAAAATGGAGTCTCTCAGGGCAAGACACAGCCTGGAAATACACCGTTTCCCACGGTGTGCAGTAACTTAGAATGGGGCATAGCTTGATCTCAAGGAACAGATAAGTCATAGTGAAAAGCAAGGAAAAGAGATGCATTCAATGTGGCCTTATTGGGCAGAGGGACAAAGTGGTCCAGTGGCCGCTCTCCCTGTGCCCGCATCGTCTGTCTTCAGGGTCCTGATATAATGTTTAGGTTTAAATAGAAGGTAAAACGTGAGCCCAGCTCAGGGTCTTGGTCCTGCTCATTATCATTGTCCCTGCTGTAGTCTCCCCAGCAAGGTGGTCAAACAAGTTACTAGCTGTGCGAAATCTCTTTCTAGGAGACACACTCCCCCTTACTGCCACCCACCTCCAATGTTTTCCTTCTCTCAGAATGAGATCTCTGGGAAAAGTCTAATTTCTCAGAGTCCATTGTGTCCATAGTCTGATAGCTGAAGCTCGGGACACAGTGTCTCTTAATATTTTAGAGATGGGACCACATGTCAGAAGTTTTTCTTTTTAAATTTAAATTTTTTTTAAATATTATTTTATATGTATGGGTGTTTTGCCTGCTTGTCTCTCTGTACCACACATGCGCAATTCAGGAGGAGGGCGGAAGAGGACTTGGAATGCTCTGGAACTAGAGTTACAAACAATGTGGGTGCAGGGAATTGGACCTGAGTCCTCTGGAATCCAGTGCCCTTAACTGTGAAGCCACCTCTCCAACTCCACAAACCTGTACTTGGTGTCTCATAACTTCAACGACAGTTACTTTTTTTTTTTTTTTTTTTTTGAGACAGAGTTTCTCTGTGTAGTCCTTCCTGTCCAGGAACCCACTCTATAGACCACACTGGATTCAAATTCACAGAGATCTGCCTGCCTCTGCCTCTGCCTCCTGAGTGCAGGGATTAAAGGCGAGAGCCACCACTGCCTCGATCAGGTACAATCTTTTGTCTTCAAAGTCCTTTAAATCCTGAGGGGAGGTCCACCTGAAGTCTGGGCTGTGTACATCCCTTGCTGCACAAAGGGAAGTGTGCAGAGACCACAGCACAGAAAGGCCTGGGGAGTAAACACAGAGCAAAGTGATAATGAGCTAAGCACATCTGTGTGGTACATGAACTGGAGCCAAAGGGCTGCCGTGGATTAAAAAGAAGCAGATAAACATGCCCACAGTGATGAAGGAATATTGGAAATAAAAAGTTATGCATCAAAGGTAGACAATAAAGACATAAAAATAGTGCAGTTGATACATAATACATAGAGTAATACTAAGATGGAGAGAAGTGAAGAAAATTTGGTGAGCTAGCTCCATTTGATAGCCCTCTCAAAATAGAACAGAAAAGATAGATGGAAAGTGTGTGTATGTGTGTGTGTGTGTGTGTGTGTGTGTGTGTGTGTGTGTGTGTGAAGAGACAGGGATTAAAATGGCTACAGTGGGATGATAATATAGAAATAGAAATATAACAAAGGAAAGAGTATTTGAACAAGTAATAGCCATGATTTCTCCAGAGTAAAAAGGGGAAGAGGCTCACAGAACAAGACAGATAAAAGCCCTGGTTGGTGGTGGCATATAGCCTTTAAACGCAGCACTAAGGAGGCAGAGGCAGAGGCAGGTGGATCTGTGAGTTCGAGGCCAGCCTGGTCTGCAGAGCAAGTTCTAGGTCAGCCAAGGACACACAGAGAAATCCTGCCTGGGAAAAACAAAACAAACAAAAACAAACAAACAAAAAAGAGGGGTGGGAGAGATGGCTCAGTGATTAAGAACCCTTGCTGGTCTTTCAGAGAACCAGAATCCCTCACAACTGCCTCTAACTCCAGTTTCAGGGGATATGAAGCCCTCTTCTGGCTTTTCCTGGGGGGGGGGGGACCACACACATAGTTTCAAGTACAAGCCCCCTCCCACTAAGCTTTTCACATGGGCTCTGGGGATTGGAACTCAAGGCCTCATAATTCATTTCTAAGTGGCCTAGGAAAACTAATTATGCAAACTTCTGCTTTGGAATTCAGTGTATGACTCGGTGGGGAAGCTTGGAAGCAACGTTCTTAATGGCAATGTGGACAGGCTGGGATCCTACAGCGAGTGTCTTTCCACCCAGGGCCCTGGGGGAAGTTTCCGAGGTCAGTACTGCAAGCTTCATATATTACAGGTGAGTGGGGGGTACCCCCTGTGCTCGATCTTGAAGGGCGGGTTTATAAGCTACAGGTCATGATACTACTCTATCAATTGCTTTTCCTAACTGAAAACAGAAAAGAAAAAAAAAAAGAAAGAAAGAAACTATTAAAACGCCTCGCACGAAGCGGCGACTAGATTTTTGTTTATTCTTCTGATGCTTTTGAGACAAGACTCGGAACTTGCAAGTTAGCCTGAGGTTGTCAACCTTCCTAATGCTGTGACCCTTTGATACAGTTCCTCATGTGACCCCAACCATAAAATTATTTTCGTTGCTTCTTCATAACTGTCATTTTGCTACTGTAATCCCAGCACTTGGGAGACTGAGGCAGGAGAATTAAGAAATCAAGAACTTCTTGAATTACTAGAAGCCTGGCCTCTGAAAACAAAACATGGTTCAGTGTGTCAAGGGACTGCTTCAGAATCGTGGAGACCCCTGGGCAGATTCCTCAGCACCCATGTAAAAGCCCAGCTCCTGGGTGGTGTGTGTGTGTGTGTGTGTGTGTGTGTGTGTGTGTGTGTGTGTGTGTGTGTGTGTGATGGGTGTCAGACACAGGCAGATTCTGTAAAGTTATATCTAGCCAATCTAGCCAAAACTGGTGAGCTGTAGGTTTAACCCTACCTCGAAAAATAATGTGGAGAGTGATCAGGGAAAGACAATCTATGTCAATATCTAGCCTCAACATTCACTCTCGAACACCGCCCCCCATCCCACCCTGATGAGCATGTGTGTATACATCAAGCGCTAACATTAAAGGGCATTGTGTTTCCCAGGATGGAGCAGACTATAGTGTGGGTGTGTGTGTCCCTGATTCTTGTGCTGAAGAGGATGTGACCATGATGTCTCAGCTGGGTAAGTACAAACAACAACAACAAAAACCCACAGTCAAACTACTGCCTCAGCATGAAGTTTGAAAATTCTAGCTGGTTAGAGTCAACAAAGGCGCGCACCTTCAGGGTTTTCATGACCACACCAAGTCTTCATCTTGGTCCATCAGATTAACTAAGAATGATGCAGGGGAGGAAAATTGGGAACAGAGATAGATGGGGGGGGGGTGGAGAAGACAGGAAAGGAGGGGAAAGACAACTGCCACATGATAATTGCTAGATCCTGATGTAATAAAGATGGAAAGTTAAATAGTCTCCCTACAGCTGCCTCATTAGGCCTGGTGACAGGAGTGGGCAGTGTCCAGTTTCCATACTGTGGATTCTCTCTCTGCCCGTGTGTCTGCCAAATTGCAGGGTCAGAAAGGCCATTTGGAACTTGGATTGTGTGAGGCCAATAGGTTGCAGTGGATTAGCACTGAGAGCCCAGCATTTGGTTCTGGTTGTCACTTCCCAGCCTTGTGACCCTGAGCAAATCATGTAATCTCCTGAGCTTTGGTCTCCTGTCTCTGCAGCAGGGGACTGACAGGCTCTGAAGTTCAGAGGCTCCCAACAGCCTACTGCCTCACAATCATGTCTGACCTCTGGCCATCGGAGGAATACATTTCAGCCCATGGAAACTGGTTTGATCTTTTACAGGTATTTCAAAAATTTCTAAGCAAGAGCTTTAAAGCCTAAAATTTATTTATATCTCTAGTGATTAATACTAATTTTGGTCATTTCAAAAAGAGCTAACAGCTCATGACTGAGAATCCTCCTTCAAAGTGTTGATAGTGAAGCTATTCTTAGTAATTTTAACTTGCCCTCTGAGTTTATAATAACACTCACAGCTTTGGGTACATTATCTGTCTAGTCTAGTGTTTCATATACTGTTTAAAGACAAACAAACAAAACCAACCAACCAAACAAACAGAAAACCAGGCATGTTGTCATATGCCTGCAACCCCAGCACTCCTGAAGATGAGGGAGAAGGGGTCATGAATCTGCAGTCAGCCTGGGCTACAGAGCAAGTCTGAGGATAACCTGGCCTGCATAGTAAGACATTATAAATCAAAGATAAAAAACCAAGAGCTGGTGATCTGTCTCAGAGGCTTAGTCCTTGCTCAGTGTCTGTGAAACCCTGGCTTCTAGCCCCAGTACTACAAATGAAATGAAACATGTTATGAATCAAAGCCAAATTTTGTTCTTGATATACAAGTGATGGATATAATAAAAACAAAGACAGGTGTATAGCTACTATGAAATTAGCATTTCAAATGAGTAATCAGGGCCCCAAGTTTAATGATTTGCCTTGCTACAGGAGATTCATCAGTTCGTCTGATTTTTCTGGCTAACACCAAGCTGTCTAGCCAGAGTTGGCCAAATGAAATGAAATCCTGACAATCATTGCTAATGAGAAAAGATATTTTTATTCTCGGAGAGCCATGAAGAAGGTATTTTCTGAGAAACCAGAAGAACCAGCCCCTGCTGGGGTGATCGAGGAGCTGACATGGGGCGGTGCTGGGGAAGTTGGGATTGGCCAGCAGAGCCTCTCTCCAGCTTTGGCACAGAGGCAGGGCTTGAGATCAGAGCATCTTTCCCCCAGGGGAACAGTTCCCCATCTGGAAAGGATTTGTCAGCTATTTCTTAAAGCCTTTTGATGGTGTTGCTTTTATCTCCCCTCCAGATGCGAGGGCAAGCAGTTCAGGAATGCCAGGTGGCTGCTGTTGGCACAGGCGCAGTCAGTGGAACAGGAGAACAAGAGCAGCCACAGCAGCCAGGCCAAGGGAGATGATCAAAGCATGGCAGAGAGAGACAGAGAGACAGAGACACAGAGACAGAGACACAGAGACACAGAGAGACAAGAGCAGCCACAGCAGCCAGGCCAAGGGAGATGATCAAAGCATGGCAGAGAGACAGAGACACAGGGAGACAGGCAGACAGCCAGACACACACACACACACAGACCCTGGATAGGTAGGAGGGACAGCCTACAGTCTGAGCCTGGAGGATCTGTTGCACAGTGATTTCCGTGGCATATTGGAGAATTCCAACTAACAGACATTAATCTTCGCTGTCAGCTTGAAACACCTGGGAGACACACCTCCAAGTGTCTGCGAGGGTGTGTCTAGGGGTCACAGGAGGACTTATCCTGAATTTGTGGCTCTAGTCCAATGTGTGGCTCGGGGTGTAGACCGATTAAAGGAGGGAAGGAAGTGAGATGGGTGCAGGCATTCTCTTCTTCTGGGTCTGCAGAGGTGTGAGCAAGCAGCCTCTTGCTGCTTCTGTCACAGCGGTGAGCTATCGTACACCGGGACTTCCCTGCCACAAGGGACTGGGTCAACTCATGAGCCAAAATCAATCCCTCCTGCCTTCAGTTACATCTTGTCAGGCGTTCAGCCACAGCAATGTGAAGAGTGCTGAATGTGTGTGGGTTCCTGAGAATAAGATCATGTCATCCCAGGGTATATAGACTCTAGATCAACCTGGACACTAAAAAAAAAAGTGTAAAATCCAGTGCAAATCTCTTACTGTATTTATTTCTCAAGGCTCCTGTCACCAGGCTAGGGACTTTAGAATTTTATTTTCTAACAGCTCTGGACAGTAGACATCTGAAATCTGGTGTTGATGAGGTTGATTGCTTCTGGAGCCACCTAGCAGGGTCTAACATATGCCCCTCCCTTAGCTGGGGGCTGCCACCAGTTCTTGATACTCATTTGCTTATAGCTATACCTTGTCTTCTTGGCTTGTAGACAAACTGTATTTATTTGGCTATAGACACACCATGTTCCCTTGGGTTGTAGATACACAGTGCCTCCTTGGCTTTTATACACACCATGTAATGTTTAACACCAGGCCAGCAAATTTTACCTGCCACCAACAATAGGGGGTTACACATTTCCATTCTCAAGGGCTCACTTTAGATCTGTCCTTCAGAAATTTTCTAACATTTTATAACGTTCACACTATCTGTTTGGCAGGAGCCAAAAGGATCGAGATCTGGGCTGCCGGGCATCAAGGTCCACCAGTCTTTCCCATCACTGTAAACTGTCCTCTTTGATGGTTGGCTGGTTTTGAATAGCCTTACCTGTTAAAGAATCAAGCTGACCGGTGGCTCAGCAAAGGCTGTCTTCCTGAGCTCTCTCATGACTCCCCATTGCTTACTGAGAAGCTGTGATTGTCTAATAGCAACTACTTGAATTAGTTAGCTACAGGTTTTTCCTCTGGCTAGGACTCAAGAGGATTTTTTTTTTTTTTTTTTTTTTGGTCCAGTAAACTTTTATTGAAACATTTTCTCTTGTTGCTTCTTAATTACAGAAGCACTCCACTGATATCATCTATGATGTCAAGAAGGTGGCAGCTCATCTATGATGTCAAGAAGGTGGCAGCCATCCACACTGCAGGCCCCAGGATCTTTTTTACTTTATTTTATTTATATCTTATGTATGAGTGCTCTGCATGTACACCTGCAGGCCAGAAAAGGGCATCAGATCCTATTATAGATGGTTGTAAGCCACCATGTGGTTGCAAGGAATTGAACTCAGGACCTCAGGAACAGCAGTCAGTGCTCTTAACTGCTGAACCATTGTCCCAGCCCACCCCAGGTTCTTTTTAATAGTTCCTGAAAGTTCTTTGGCTAAATACTGGTGAGGCACCTGCAAGGAACTATCGACAACCTTATCAAGAGTGTTACTTCCAATGTGCTTACTGTTTTCTGGATGTTTCTGTGTCCATGGCTTCCTGTGAGCTTTGATGGTAGGTCAGAGGCAGAATGTACAACCTTATCTGGGCCTGTTTGTCCTGAGTGGTCAGTTTCACCATCATCCTCAGACCTTTCCAGTCATTGGTTGCTATGGCAATGTCATCAGCGCCTTTTCTTTTGCTGCTGCTGGGAATTGAACCTGGGTTCTCTAGAAGAACATTGTGCTCTCACAGGCATTCCTCCAGCCTCCTGAAACTGTACTCTTCACTAGTATGTTCAATTTGATGAACTTACATGAGGCAAATTCTCCTGTAAGTAGGATAAGATGAACACATCTTAAAGGTTGGTAGAAGTTACACACAGAGATGGAGCCACACCTCACGTCTCATAGTCACTTAGTGAACTGTAGCGTTAATAACTGTATGGCCGTTTTGTGGAACCACGAATCCTCAATGTTTGCCAGGGCTTGAGCAATGCTCAGGTCCCGATTCTGAGTGTGGTCCTGGGGAGTTTCGAGAGCGTAGATCCCAGATCATGCCCAGACTTCTAGATCTGAAGCCTCCAGGAAGGGGCCAATAGTTCTCCCTTCACCCCTGGGTCACTCCAGCTTGCTTACTAACATTTGAGAGGGAACACGAATCTCATTGGTATAATCTTTATGTATCCATTCTTCCAAGGACTCATCAGATCTACCCTGAGTTGGTGTTCCTGAGCTTGAGTTTTGGATGGTGCCCGTCCCAGAGTGGCTGGCTTCCATTGTTTTGGTCCATCTTTTATTGCATGTTTTTGTCTCTCTTGCTCACTAATAGACTTGAGTCAGTACCAGCACCTTTTTAGATTCAGCGTTCCCAGGGCTGTGTGCCAGAAGGGATGTGAGAGACCAATGGACTAAGAGTTCAGAAGACGCTGGTCCATTTCCGCCTGGGTCAAATGTCTAAGTTCTGTGGTGTACTGTCAGCTTTTGTGTGTCAACTAGACATAAGCTAGAGTCATCAGAGAGGAAGGAGCCTCAGCTGAGGAAATGCCTCCATGAGATCCAGCTGTAAAGTATTTTCTCAAGTAATGATCAATGGGGGAAGGGCCCAGCCCGTGGTGGGTGGTGCCATCCCTGTGCTCAAGATCCTGGGTTCTCTAAGAAAGCAGGCTAAGCAAGCCAGTAAGCAACACTCATCCATGGTCTCTGCACCAGCTCCTGTCTCCAGGATCTTGCCATATTTGAGTTTCTGTCCTTAACTTCCTTCAGTGATGAACAGAAATGCTGAAGTATATCCCAAAAAAAAACCCTTTCCTCCCCAACTTGCCTTTTGGTAGTGGCGTTCCATTGTAATAATAGGAACCCTAAGACATGTGGCTTTCAGCACCTTTTTATGCTTTAAGCATTTATCTTTTTAAAGGTGTTTGTGTGTGCATGCGCTCATACAGGCGCTTGTGACACCAAACGAGGGTGTCAGCCACCCTGGAGCTAAACTCATAGGAAGTTGTGAACTGTCTGGTGTAAATGCTGGGAACTGAACTCTGGTCCTCTGAAAGGATAGTATTCACTTTTAATCCCTGACTCCTGTCTCTACTCCCCTTTGGCATCTTTGTTTCTCATTTCCCTCCCACAATTCATAAAGCAGATAAACTTGGTCTTGGTATCCATGGTAGACTCCATGGACCCACAGGAGACCAAAATCAGATGCTCAAGCCTTTATATAAAATTTCATAGTGTTTGCGTAGAATTTACACAACCCTCCTGCTCACTATTAACCATTTCAAGCTTATTTATAACACCTAGTGTAAAGGCCATGCATATAGTTACTGTGTAGTCATAGAATATAGTTTAAAGAACAATGATGAAAAGTCTGTAATTAAAAATTACTGTCATCCTTGGAAATCCAATGCACGTTTAAATGCCAGCTCTGTGTGCGACGGTGGGAATATACTTGGGAAGGTCTAAAGCAGTGACATGGCCTCTTCTTCTCTCTTGGTAGATATTCTGAGGCTCAGAAATACTTCCATTTTGGCGCCTTCCCTCTCCCTCTTCACAAAAAACTCTTCCTCCTCTCCTTGTGAAAGTGTGGCCAGATGTGCTGGCGGGGTGTTTCGGCTGGACACGTTTGCCTCTGTGTGTCTGTAAGTATGGGCATCTGAGGTACCCAGCTGGTATCTCCCTCACAAACTGCACTTAGTGTTGAATGGTGACTAGACAATGCTGTCTGGCTTCCAAGTTCAATGTTCTGAATTTTTGTGTCCGTATTGAAACTTAATCCTGAACATGATGTGGTCAGGTGGGACCTTGAGTAGGTAACCAGGGCATGTCAGACTGCCCTTACAAATGAGATTAATGTCCTCTTAAAAGGTACAAGGAAGGTTCTTCACCCCTTCCTTCCTCCAATGTGAGGTCATCTAGAAGGTACCAACAACTAGAAAACTGGCCCTTTCCAAACTCAAAGTCTGCTGCTGATTTGACTTGGGGACTGCCTTCCAGAATAAAAAATAAATCATGTTCTATTGTTTACAAGCCACCAACCCATGCCATTTTGTTACAGCATCCTACATTGACTAAAATACAGGAAGATCACCGTTAAACAATGAAATGTGAAAGCATTCCAGGGAAGACAGACCAGGCCCACATTTGAGTGGGACCCAGGACCACCACCCACACGCATCCATCTCTAAACATTCCTGGGCTGAAAACCCCTTTCTTGTTGCTGTTATATTTTTCTTTTTGAGACAGCCTGTCTCTATGTATATTAGCTAGTCTTGAACTCAGGACCCTCCTGACTCAGCCTCCAGCATGCTAGGTTTACAGGAGTGCCTCCATACCCAGTTGGTGATTTTGTTTCTCCTGGGGTTGCTTTTTCTGCATCTTTGGTTCTATGTGAAGACCTGGCCAGGTGTCTTCTTTCTGCAGGTTCGTCACCTTGCTAGGCCTTGTCCTTCCTGTGGCTGGGACTGTTTACATGGTGGCCAGGGGCTGGGGCTTGGACCTCAGGACATTGCCGGCACATGGGACTCCTGCAGGTTGTGAGAGTCTGCCTTTGAGAAACACTGAGAGCAATGGGCAAAGATGTGCAAGCCCGAAGACCAGTTGCCAAGTTCACCTCTCCCCACCAGGACCCCCAAGCAGAGGAAAAAGTAAGCATTTGAAACTAGGACCACCCCAGAGAAATGACCTTGAGAAGTGTATGGTTGGAAAATAATTCCTCCAGTTTGGATTCTGGCGAATGCCCAGCAGCTCCTAAATGTCAACGGAGGCTGGATCCCCACTGTTTTCAATTCAGTCTTTGTTTAGCATCAGGGTGATAAGGCAAGGCGAAGTCACCAACAATGATGGTTTATGTTGTGTACAATTATCCAGTGTGTTTCTGTACTGACAAAAGCCTGGGTCAGCAGAGAGTTAAGGGGTTCACTGTAGTTATGCTGTGATAGTGGCTATTTTTAGTACCATAGATCCATGTACAACTCTGAAGCCAGCAAGCAAAGCTAATCAATGTATCTGAGTCAGAAATAGGTAACTCCACCCAACGTAGCAAAATGATGATTCCATTGGGGCCCACTGTGTTAATGATTTGGTGAAAAATTAAGAATATTAGTTTGAAGGGCCATGGTGGCATACACCTTTAGTCCTAAAATTCAAGATGTAGAAGCAGAAGAATCTTCTGTGGTTCTGAAGTCAGCTAGAACTACATAACTATGTAGTGTGGCTCAGAGAGAGAGAAAGCATAAGAGAGAGCAAGAGAGAATTCTTAGCTTCATTTCTATCTGCTATATGGAAGGGAAAACATAGATAGATAAATTGCTAGATAGGTGATAATATTTATCATCTATTTATCTTAATCTATTATCTACTTATTTACTATCTACTTACCTACATATCTGTCATCTGCACATCATTCAGAAGTTGCCTGTTTATGAAAATGCCTTTCATCTAGATGGAGTAATTTTCAACAAATTACCCTCAGCTCTTCAAAATGTTTTTTTCTTACTCAAAAAAGGGCCTTAAAAGCAAAACAAAAACAAAAAAAAAAAAAATGAAAAAAGAAAAAGAAACCTTCAAAAATCTCAGGGGGTTGGCAGGGTAAATATGAATATGTAATTAAGTAGCTTCAAGGAGTATGTCCCACATGGAAAGCATAGCAATGATTTTTCTTTGATCTTATTTGAATTTTACACAAAATCAGCATTGACAGTAACTTAATTACAGTAACAGTTGACATAAATGCCAACATCAAAAAAGCAATAAAAGACAGAGATAGTCCAAGAGGATTCTCAAAGGCTTTAGGGTTCTGGGAACCAGTTCCCATGCAGAATGGCATACAGATCTGCCTACCAGGGTGCTATGCCTGTCCCTGCTGCCCCTCAGTATCTACACAGAGCCCTGGAGATAAACCACTCTCTGTTTGGTACATTACATCCCCATCACATTTTGAGTACAAGTAACAATGGGCTCACCCAGGTTCCAGAAGCCTACAGTGACCTCTTGTGATGTGGCTGTAGAGTTTCTCTGCATCTGGCTGACCTGTAGACAGGTTCAAGTTCAACACGGTAGAGAAAGGAGGTGCTTAGTCATTTCCAGTCAAATCTGCCTCGACTTCTAACCATGACCTTGGTTGGATCGTTTGGTCTCTATGAACCTCAACTTCCATATATGTAAAATAAGAGACAACATGGGGTAAGCTGATGGCGTTCAATGCAATTATATGTGCTTGCCTCTTAAATTCACCCTTTCTCTCAGTCTCTGTAGTTGAGCTAGAGGAGAAGGGAGAAGCATGTGCCAAGACCTCCTGCTGGGATCTGATCTTTCTGAGCAACCCAGTATGAGAAAAGTGCCCTGAAAGCAGACAAAAGAGCCAGGGGCAGCCCCTGCTCCCACTGTAAGGTGTCCCGTAAGAAGACCAAGCTGCACAACCATAACGTAGGTGCAGGGAACCTAGTTTGGACCCGCACAGGCTCCTTGATTGCTGCTTCAGTCTCTGTGAGCCCCTGTGAGTCCTGCTAAGTTGATTCTGTGAGCCATGGTCTTGTGGTACCCTTGACCCCTCTGGTTCCCACAATCCCCCCCCCCCCCCCCCCCGTCTTTCACAGGGTTCTTCAAGCTTCTTAGCATTTACTTTTTACCATGGTTTCAAAATAGTTGCCATAACAATGTTTTCTTTTGTATGTAACACCATCAAAGACAAAAAAATATGTCCCTAAATGTTTGGAAGTTACAAATCAAGATGGAGAGACCCCAAAGATGCATTGATTTCCCCCCTCTCCACTTTAATATTCCCCTGTAAATCAAACCAATAAGACCAATGTATCATTTGGAAGGCTAGAGTTCAACTGGACAGTTTGGATTCTTGATTCTTTAGCCTCTTCATAACTGTTTTTTTTTTTTTTTTTTTTTCCCTGTTGAGTGAACCTGCCTTGCTATTTGGAAAAAAGCAATACAAGGGATCAAAGGTGTGAGAAAGGGTTCATGGATTAAATAGCTATGGATTTCAGCCATGAGTAGGCTATGGCCTGCTGCCTAAGTGGGACTCTTGAAATGATGGCTGAGAAACATGAAGGGCTTCAAAGACTGTGAAAGCCTGTTTGTGCCTGGTGGTTCTTGAGTTTTGGAAACATCAGAATCCCCTGCAAGTTGTCAGGTGCTAGGCACTAACCATGAAGACTGTGTCTCAGCAGGATTGCTCAGAGCCTGGGGATGAACATATCTAACAAATTTCCCAGTGATGCTGAAACCACTGGTCCAGGAACCCCGACTTTGAGGGTCAATAACCACATGAACTTAGCCCAGTGATGGCCTCCAACTACCCTGTCTCTATAGTTTATAATTCTTTTATCCACAAGTGAGCAAAACTGGACTCCAAGAGGCTGTCTTCCCTATAGAGTAGCTGTTTTCAGAAGATTTTATAAAGCACTAATGGTTCCATTCACTCAGAGTAGGACTTATATGGAAAAGTAACCCTAAAGAACACAGAGTGCTTGCTTGCCAAGGTTAGCATTGAGCCAGAGATGTTGCTTTGGAATCTTCATAACACTGCTCAAAATTATATGTATTCTATATGTGAGGCAATGTGGCCCAGGAGGTTGGAGAGCTTGGCTGAGAGTATTGGTCCTATGCCTCTCATCACAGGAACCTGGGGGAGGAATCAGGTGACATCAGATGCTGGACAATGCTGCTCACAGTGCTGACTGCCAAGGCTTGGGGAACACAATTCCTGCAAATAAAAGACTGGCTACGATGCCTGCAGCAGGGAGAGCATCACAGGGAAACTCAGACTGGCTGCCAGAATCTCAAGATGCCAGGAAATTAAACTTAAAACAACTGACTTAGATTGCTAGTGCATGGCCATGAGCCAGCTGTTGTTTGTGAATACATTTTAATTCCATAAGGACATACCTGCAACCATAGTGTTTCAGCTTTGCCCAGGAGAGCATGAGTCCCTCAGGGCTGGCTTGGACTTTGGAGAGTCTTGTGTCCCAATTCCATTCATTCAATTGGCTTCTGGGTTAGATTACATACTGTGGGTATAGCTATATACAGCATTTAGGAGATGGAGACAGGAGTCCTGCCATAAGTTCAAGGCCAACCTGGGCTGTATAATCACACTCTTGTCTAAAAAAACAAAACAAAAACAAACAAACAAAAACCAAAGATAACAACCATGACCACCACAACACCACCACACCACCAGGATAAGCTCACTAGACAAAATTAGCCATTCTTGTGACAAATACTGATAATTACAAAGACGATCTTGCAAATGCTCATTACTGGGTGGTCTCTATTCAGAGGGATTTATAAGCATTATCTCATTTGATATTCATAATATCCTATGACTACAAGATCTTGACTCTTGGTTTGCAGATGTGGAAACTGGAGTGCAGCGAAGTTAATTCCCTTGCCAAGGGTTACAAAAAAGACTTAGAGCCAGGAGGATCTTACTTTATGGGCAACCTAAATTAACATATCACCTCTTCCATCCCAGTGTTTGTACCTGGTCTGTGTTGGAGACATTAGTACAAAGTGAGAGTCCTTGGGACAGCCCTGGGACACTATTTCAAGTGAAATGCCAGTTCTCTGGACCCACTGGTCTCATACATGTCTCACTTTATTCTGACCTTTGTAAAGAAGGCCTGGGGTCAGGGATTGGCTTCCCTGGTGCCTCAACTTGGGCAACACAAGGCATTGTGGAACACCAATGTCAGGTCAAGACAGGTAGGGAGAGTCAAGGTCCAAAGCAGACATGAGAGCCCAGAGATGGGCCTTGAGGGGGCTGTGGAAGCCCTAGTTGAGCACTCCAGGTTTTTGAGGTGGAGCCTGAGGTCTCTGTGTGAATTTTGGTTCATTTAAGGGTGGTGTGTGGATGGGTCTGGTTTTCATGAGGGCTCACAATAGCACCACTCTTGCTCAGGGTTTCTAGGAGCCATGGATGGAATTCTGCAATGCTTTTCTTGGCAAAAGAACATGCCGGCCATCTGCTCCCCAGAGCTGCCGGGAGGCACCTGCCAGACGCTCAACGGGATCCGAGTCCTGAGTCTCCTTTGGATTGTCTCGGGACACACTAGTCAGATGACTGCTTGGCTGTCTTTGGGTATGGGGAGCTGACTGACTCCTTCTCCCGTGTCCATGGGAAAGAGCGCCTTTTCTATGTGGGCTAGAGGTGGGCATGGGGTGGGAACCTGACAGTTGTCTCAGGAATAGCCAGCCTTCCTTCTGTTCTGGAGACACACTGACATTTGCCATGGCATGTGACCTCCTATGCCAAGTTTCCCAGGACTGCAATCACTACCACTCTCCTAGGTAGAGAGGAGGTACCAATGATGTTTAGCCATTGTGTGTTCCCTCTGTCTACTGGGAGTGACAGGAAGTAGGTTTCCCCATTACTGGAGACTAGGCAAGTACAACCAAATGTGGTGCATCCACAGTAAATCACCATTTCTGGACATTGCCATGCCCTCATACATAATTCAATGTCCATCACTCAGTAACAAAGGTCATCTCTCAGTAGGGGACCAAGTAGGTGAATCAGAACTAGAGGCCAGGCCACTGTGGGAGCCTCTGATGTGATAGGCACCTGTCTTAACTCTGTGAGAGTCTCAGAGCACTGTGGGCATCATAAGAGCCCAAAGGGAGCCCACAGCCTGGGTGACAGGGACCTCAGTCACCACTCTTATTCCCACTGTAAGTTCACCCCCAACACCGACCGTTCTTACAGCTCTCCCAGTAGAAACAGAAGTTGAAAGTATACCTCTTGCTTTTCCTCAAAGTGAAGTCCTCTGACTTCTTTTAGCTGAGCTAAAAGACCTTGCTTTTCTACATTTGTTTTATAGATAACGTGCTTGAATGGAAAGCCAGAGTGCCTGTAAACCCGCTGTACCTCTACTCTCGGAGCGGCCCGTTCTATCTCGGGGTGGATACTTTCTTCCTGATCAGGTGATGAGGCTGACGTGTAGTGTCTGCTGTTATGCTTGTTAAGGGATGCATGGGTGTGTGTGTGGGAGGGGGTGTCAGTCTCACCTTCCTAAGAAAAGGCACATGGCACACATTAATTCAACTGGGACTTGGCTTCTGTTTATGTTGTCTAAATAGTGCTCTTGTCACAGCTACTCTCTGCAAGGTCTTCAGTTTGGTAGGTGAGTTAAAATGATGCCAAGAAATAGTTTTTTTTATAAAAGTTGAAGTTTTAAAATGTCTTTATTACATTTTATGTGTTTATGTGTGTTTGTATGATTATGTTGGTGTATGTTTGTCATGACACACATGTACTGGTCAGAGGATAGCTTGTAGAAGTTAGTTTGCTTGTCACCATGTGGGTTTCTGGAATTGAACTCGGGGTCATCAGGCTTGGCGGCAGGCACATTACTCTGCTGGATCGCCTCAACAGCCCACACAAGTTGATTTTATTTGTTAAAATCATTTATTTCAGTGGTTCGCAAGCTCTAGAAAGTAGTGTAGATTCATACTAAAATTTTCAATTCTCACTCCAGCAAAATGGGAAGGAATAAGCATAACACAACGGTATGAGGGATCACAGCATTACATTCTCTTAAATTATCAACCAAAAATTTCCTAACCACTTTCTTAATTTCATCTTCTTAAAACTATTAAGAGTTTGAGAAATGGTACAAGAAACCACCAGGTAACGTAGGATCCACTGGGTAGTCCATGGCAGGGTAGTACGGGATGTTGCAAGCAGAGGGAGAAGCTGTCTGCTCATCCATACTGGTCGATGTTGAGCTCTTGTCCCTGGAAGGTTGCTGGTGATACTGGCTCACAGGCCCTCTCCCCCAGATGCATGGGGTCAGCCTTTCTGGGGTGAGAGCAGCATCTGGGTTGTCAAAAGCCCTCCAGATGATCCTGATGCCCACTGGGGTCTGAGAAGCACAGTGTGAACCCTGGTGGTAGGAGCCAAGGTTAACAGAGGCAGTGGGAGTGAGTACACAGACCCTGACCTGGGTGAGAAATGAAGAAAGACATTTCTCTTTGCTTTGTCTCTATTTGTTCCCATTTCTCATCATCAGTCTGCGATTGCCTTTTCTTCCTCTAGCTTTTATTTTATTTTATTTTTTTGTTTTTGTTTTTTGAGACAGGCTTTCTTGTGTAACAACCCTGGCTCTCCTGGAACTCTTTTTGTATATTAGGTTGGCCTTGAACTCACAGAGATCCACCTCTGCCTCTCAAGGGCTGGAATAATTTTATTACTTCAGATGGTTCCCATATTCTTTCATTTCAAATTTGTATGTATATGATGTGTGTGTGTCTGTGGTGTGTATGTGTGTGTGTGTGTGTGTGTGTCTCCCTGGGAGAAGGATCTCTGGTTAACAGACTTGTTCTGCAAGCATGATGATCTGTGATAAAATTTCATGAAAGAAGCCAGACAGGGGATGAATGCACTAGCCTTTATATGAGTACTTGCACTTCATGCATACATACACATACACATACACACACACACAAATCCCACACATACATATCATACACATATATACATATACTGCACACACCACACATATACATATATAATGCACACACACCACACACATGCATAGCACACACACCATACACATATATTACATATACATGTGCACAATATACATATACAACATCCCACATATACACATATACATATATACACACCATACATCACATACATATATACCATACACACCACACATAAAACACATCATACACATAAACACACACACATACATCATACACATGCATTCGACACACCCATTACACACACACCATATACACAGCATACATATAATATACACCGTGTATACAATGTATACCACACACCTCATACACAAGACACACACATATCACACACACACACACACTTTATTTAGTCCATTTTTATGTGTATGGGTATATTTTTTGCCTGCATGTTTGTCTGTGCACCACACATGTGTCTGGTGCCCATGGAAGCCAGAAGAGGGTGCAGGTTCCCTGAAACTGGAGTTACAGACGATTGTGAGCTATCTTATGGGTATTAGGAATTGAACCCAGGTCCTCTGGGACAGAAGCCAGTGCTCTTAACCACCGAGCCATCTCACCAGTCCTACATATTTACTCTAAAAGTTATTTTAAAATTATGTTTATGAGTGTTTTTCCTGCATGTATGTTTGTGCACCACGTGTGCCTGAGGAGGACAGACGAGAGAGCTGGAGTTACAGATGGTATGAGCTGCCTTGTGGATGCTAGGAATTGAACCTTGGTCTTCTGGAAGAACAGGTAGTTCTCTTAGCTGCTGAGCCATCTCTCCAGTTCCCATCTTCCACAGTTACTGTTGAATAATAGAGCATCAGCATCTTTTTTGCAGATAATAAATTCAAGGTCCAGAAACAAAATAATTTGCCTATACTTTTAAGGTCAGAAACAGAGCTTTAAGTAAGAATATAAGTTAGAATTCCTGGAAATCTGAAACCCAAAGTATTTCAAAATCTGCAGCCTTTTAAGTGTTAACAAAATACCTTAAATGGGAAATTCTACAGGTTACAGACAAAACATAGCTGTGCTAAAAATATTGTCTACAATTATCTTTAGGCTATGTGCACAGCAGTGTATGAAACAGACGAACTTGTTCTTAGACTTGGGTCTCATCTCCAGCACCCCATTAGATGTATGCAAACATCCCCAAATGCTAAACCACACTGGGGCCCACACATTTTGGATTAGGGCTCCTCAGCTTGCAGTCTGTTTCATGGGTCTCATGTCTTAACCACCCCATCACTGATACGTACACACTGATACACAGAAAAGGCAGGGTTCCAGTTACCCTTGGGGAGATCTGTGGGCCACTTTCCTCCCTCTTGGTACTAATCTGCAATGCATGATTTCCCTTTCCCCAGTCCATTCAGGACTCTGGGACTCACAGCCTGTTTCCCCTCTTTTCAGTGCCCCCTCCTTGTGGGCTAAGCGGTACATTCCCACACATGGAGCAAGACTCTGCTTAGCAAAGGCTGCCTGCCGGTGGGTGGGTGCCAGACACTCTGGGAAGAAAGGACGGCCCAGATTCACCCTTTCCTGAGATGAAGAGGAGGCCAGCATCGGAATTGGCTGCCCTACTTCCAGCTCTCAATGGCTTCATTTAGATGCCTTTTATGCATTTGGTTCCTATTATAAGGAATCCAGCTTGCTGCTTTTCAAAGGAAGTCTAAGAGGCATTCCCCAACCCACCAGGATCCCTTCCAAGTAGGGCCCAACACAGGCATTCTTGCTGTGCAACAGGAAACACATTTGCTATTCCTAGGAACTCCCAGAAGGATCAGTGGGCTAAACGCCAAAAGGTCAAGGAACTCACAGGCCTGCTCACCACCAAGCTGCAACTCAAAGCTGAATACTTGGCTGGTGAACTCACCATGACAATGTGCCAGTTAAGAGTTCCGTGATCTTCCTGCTATCAGAGCACTTGAGAGGTGGAGGCAGGAGGACTGAGAGTCCAATGTCACCTTCAGCTACATCAGGGGTTTGAGGCCACTGGGGGCGATGTGAGACCATGTCTCAAAAGCAAAGAAACAAAACTGGACTTCTGTGCTCGTGAGCAGCCTGATTAGTAGTCTGAGTCTCAGTTTCCCTGTTTGGAAAAACAGGGATAATAATGTTTCCTCTTTCTCCTGGTAGGCTTCAAACATCCATCTGGTTGCTTGTTTTCTCAACACATGCTTATTTAGAAGAAGTTGGGTATGGTTTAGAACTGGGGGGCAATCTCATTAGGGAAATCAGTTTGAAAAATGTTGTGGTTGCCATGGCAATTGGAGTCCTTCACAACATTTCTTTAAAAGACCAATAGGAATGCAGCGATGGCTCTGTGTGGAAGAATGCTAACCGTGCAAGCCTGAGGACTGGAGTTCAAATCCCCAGCATACATCAAAAATCTGGGCATGACTGCATGTGCCTGAAACCCCAGCATTGAGGGGCAGAGAAGGCAGATTCTGGGAGCTCACCAGTCAGCCAGTCTACCCCAAATAGTGAACTTCTAGTTCAGCAAGAGACTCTTCTCAAGGCCATAAGGAGGGTGGTGACAGAGGAAAACACTAATGTTTTCTCCTGACTTCTGCATGAGCAGCATTGGGGACATGTACATTGCATACTAACATGCATGAACCACACAATCAGAGAGAGAGATAAAGACACAGAGACATAGACACAGACAGAAAGACAGAGAGATAGAGAGAGAGCATACACGCCATGCAGCTATCAATATTGTTAGCCAAATATTCCTGACCTTCTGTCCTCTAGGTCAGTGTTTCTCAACCTTCTTAATGCTGTGACCCTTTAACACAGTTCCTCATGTTGTGATCACCCCCAACCATAAAATTCTTTTGTTGCTACTGTTATGAATTGTAATGTAAATATTTGATGATGTACAGGATATCTGATATGAGTTCCCCATGAACAGGCAGGTCAGAACTCCCCCACACACACACAAAGGGGTCACAACCCACAGGTTGAAACTCCCTGCTCCAGATGCTTGGATCTATGGATGGATCACATTACTAGTTCCAATCAACAAGTAATATCTCATATTGTCTTATGTTAGAACCCTTGAGCCCTTATGCCAACCACTTTCATGTGTCACTTTAGGCTAGAACATTGAATTGTTGTGCTGTTAATTGCTGTGGTCATGGTCATTTGTGAGCACTCATTGTCCCAGTAGCCAACAGTGAAGAAGACACTGAGTCTTGGCCAATAGTCTATGAATACATTGTATGAGAAAGACAGAACCAAAGTAGAATGAAACAAATCAAGAACCAAAAGACTGCCACATTAAGGTGTGGGGTTACCTTGTCACTGCAGCATCACTTAGCCTGTCCGACTGAGATAACTCACCGATGAACTATATTATCTCCAAGTAACTTCAGAGGCTACTCTTTTCTCTCTCTCAGTGGTTGGCTAAGTGCAAGGTCATTTCTGAAGATGCAGCAGAATACAAACACAGGAATAACCCCTACAGTCATACTCAGATACTTTCTCAAGCGTTTTATAAGGTAGGTTTATTTATGTAATTTTTCAGTTCACTATTGTTATGAAATAGGTTTTCTCAATGTTTAACCTTGTTTTGAAAGATTTTTTTGAAAGAAATTGTTTTCCTAACTGTGCTTTGATTTGGCGGGCTTAAAAATAGTTCAGCTTCCATGGTGGTAAAGGTCATGAGGAACTGGTACCTTCCACCAGTGAACACATTCTGAACTGGCTGGAAGTAGCGCTCCATAGATGGCCCATTCATCTCCATGGGATTTGTATTCTTCAGGAGAATTGGTGTAGCTGCAAGTGATCCTGGAAGTCAGAGTACCAGTGTGATGATAAATACAACACAACAAGAAACAGTTTGTGTTGATGCTGGTTTAGATGACAGAATAGTGATGGCTGTGATGGAACTAGAGAGCTGGAATTAAACAGAAGGGATACCTCAGCTCCTGCTTTCCAGCCCCTCCCTTTCATACCTTCTCAGACAGAGTTGACTGAACCAGAACCTAGCTCCTTGCTTCTTACTCTAAGTCATTTTGCTATATTACACTGTATAGTCAGGGTTCCCTAGAAAACAGGACCAATAGGATGTATATATAATGTTCATATATGTGTGTATATATATGATATATGTGTATATATCACATGTCACATATCTAAAGAATTTACTAAGCCAGCTTTTAATGAAATAGTAACGATAGTTGTCTCATGACTGAGAAGCCAGGCAGATGCTTGGTTCACGACTGGTGTCTAGGCAGCCCTAAACTGGTGCTGAGAGCCACTGGTCTTTAGTCTGTGACGGAAACCTGGAAATGTTGGATTCTGCTCTCAGTGAAGAAATCAGCAGCAGCTGCAACAGGGTGAGTTAACTTGGCAGCAAAAGGGAAGGCCAAGTGGGCTGATGGCCAATACCGTTCTGTCTGGCATGTCCTTTGTATCTGGACTTCTACCAGACGGTGCACCCCCATCTGGGGTGGATCTTCTGGCATAGTTAAGGCAGTCAGGACAATTCTTGAGTTGAAGCTCCCTTACTCAAGTGATTCTAATTTGTAGCAAATTGATATTAAAACTAACCATCACACTGTCATGAAACAGTTAAAACGGTCCTCAGGGCTGGGGAAAGGGAGTGGGCAGGAAGAGATACTGTAATTCCACTACTGGCCTGTGTCCTGGTTTAACTGTGCACCAGCTATGCGACAGTGTTGGCCTCTCTGTACTTAGGTTTTCTTATCTATAAAAATGAAATGAGGGACTGGGATGTAGCTCAGTTGCTACAGTACTTGCTTCAAATGCTTGAAGACCTGGGTTCAGTCTCAAGCACCACGTACATCAGGTGTGACAATTTATGCCTGTAGTCCCAGCTCTCTGGAGAAGAGCCAAGAGGACTGGAAGTTTAAGGTCAACCTCGGCTACATAGATAGCTTGAGGTCAGCCTGGGCTACTTGAGACTCTTTTTAAAAGAGAGAGAGAGTGGGAAAAGAAAACCAGGAAATCGAGCTGGTGGTGGTAAAACTAGAGTCACTTTGTGGGACTCTTGTGAGATGAGAAAATGTGCACAAAGAACTTAGAAAAGTTCGTAATGGACAGAAGCCCTCTACGAGGACAGCATCGCTGCTATTCCTGCTGTTACTCGAGCCTTTTTGTGCTCTTTTATGTTAAGAGTGAGGAGGGGCTAGGGGCGGAGCAGCCCTGCTTCTTTTCAGTGTGGTTTTGTGGTTTCTTCTGAGCTGTGCCAGTGCATCCTGCTGCTGGTGCAGGGGTTTGTGCAGGATTTCCGAGTCTTTTGGGTATGAGGCTCTGATTAAGTAATATGTCCTGCCTGAGGTTTAATGGTGTGGTGAGCTTGACACACAGGCCAGAAGTTCAGAGCAGCTTAGCTTAGTGGTAGTGGTGGTGGGGGGGGGGACCAGAAGCGTGGTAGGTTAACCTGGAAAACTTGTTTGGGAACAGAACAACTTGGGAAAAGTAAGAATAAGTTATTTATTTATTTATTTCTGGAAGAGAGCACCAGCATTGGGGGGCACAAGGAACACTGGGTGGGAACGGGTGATGATGATATGACTTGTGGGCAAGATGAGGTGTGGAACCCAATCTGGCCACTGGCAGTGGGAGCAGGGACAGAGGAACTCACAGGCAAGTGAATTTCCCAACCTGAATTACATGGCAGAGCAGAGGGTGTGGCATTGTTCAGACAGCCCTGGAAGTGTGGGGATTGGAGTCATCGAGGAAGAGAATGACTCCAACTTGAGCCAAAACTTTATTGAAAAATGGAGGTGGGTTGTACCAACTGCTTTCTTGCCTTGCCCTTTCCAAGATCCGCAGGGACAGGATAGTCATGTCATTGGCAATTGGGATGTTCTCATTTATGAACTCAGAACTCACTGTTCCTATTCATTTAGGATTTATCTCTTTAAGAGGACAGGTGATGTGCTGGGCATGGTAGGACACTCGGGAGATGGAAGTTGGGAGATCAAGAGTTCAAGGTTAGCCTTGACTATTTAGTGAATTTGAGACCAACCTGAGCTACTTATGAAAAAACAAAACAAAACAGGAGATAAGATGGCTTCACCATTGATGGGTCACTGTGTATAAGGCATGGTTCTAAGCTTTGATGCTTGAATATTTAATAACCCAACAAAAATAAAATCCTTCCAGTGGGAGGTTACATTCTAGTAAATACAGATACATGATAAATAAATAGCCTATCATTAATGTATAGCATGCAAATAAACACAGAATAGATCATTGATCTGAGGGCCATAAAATGAGGGTTTAGAGACATGAGTGAGGTGAGCCAATGTCCTGAAGGGGAGCCAGGGAATGTGACTTTTGTCCAAGATCTTGAAAGAAACAAAGGAATGTTCCACACAAGGAAAATGCTATAAGCAAAGAGCAATCCATTCAGGGTTAACAGATGTGCAAACGTCCAGAGGACAGAGTGTGATTGGAGTGGCTGTGGAAGCTGAAGAGCCCCCAAGCTCTACGGGGAAGGGGGAGGACAGCCGGTGAGGTCACAGAGGGTGAAGAGGAAGGACTAGACCCAGGGGCAGACAAGCTCTCTCCATGTTCTTCTGAGGTTATTCCAGGACGGAATCCATCAGAGAGTGCCAGCAGAGGAGGCATGGTGTCAGATGTCCAATCTGCAAGCATCACTCTGCCTTCCAGGCAGCAAGGGCACCGGAATGGAGCAGGAGTGGGAAGTCAGGAGATGGGCTGGAAGCTTCTGCTTTATGAGAAAACCCAAGCCGGGAGTAGTGGCGCACACCTTGAATCCCAGCATTCAGAGGCAGAGGCAGGCAGATCTCTGTGAGTTTGAGGGCAGTCTGGTTTGCAGAGTGAGTTTCAGGACATCCAGGGTTACATAGTGAGACCCTGTCTGGGAAAAAAGAAAAAAGAAAAGAAAATCCATTCACTTTCCCACCTTCTAGACATAAACAGGATCGGATATTGTGGAGTGGGAAATAGAGGAGATGCCTGGGGTCTTGGCACTGCATGATCTCTCTAACTAGGAGCCACATTTAAATGTTCATAGCTAGGGGACAGGGGAGGTGGCTTAGTTGACGTAGACACCACCCTGTTCTGCTTGTGGCTTTTTTCATTTAATGTCACAGCACCAGCATATTCTCTGTTGGCAGGACCCACACCACTGATATGGCCAAGGGGACATTGTCTAAATGGACCATTGTGTGTTCAAGTTGACTCCATTGATAGATATGGAGGAAGTTCCCAAGATTCTTGCTTTCTTAGGTTAGAAGATGACAAGTGTGGCAGGTCTGGATGGGAAGATTTGGGTAGGCAGGATGGGGTGGGGAGGGTGGGATAGGCAGGCCTGAATGGGCAGGTTTGGGTGAGCATGTCTGTGGGGCAAATCCCTGCAAATGGAGTTGGTACATGTATGCTTTTTTCCTGTTTAGCATCCTACCCAACAGATATGCACATGTCGGCTTCTCACACGTCCATGACTCAGGCTGAGATCTCTCACCCTCCTGGTAACCAGGGCAAAAATGTAGCAGGGGTGTAATTCTGTGGCACTGGAGACATTGCCTTATTTGCCTCTCAGGACTCCCCGGGGATCTTAGGTATCGATCATCCCCCTCTTCATATTGGAGGAGAGAGACAAGAGTGAAATGACTTTTATACACGTGAATGGTTTAGGCAAACAGAACTCGCCTTTCTGGTCTGGTTCCCTAGACCATCTAATTCAGGTGTGCCACACACCCACCCAGAGGCTCAACCTCACCCCCCCCCCACTGGCTTGGAGGCTTCATTTTAACACCATCCTCTGGAGGGGTTGCCCAAAGGGTGGAGATGCTGGAGGCAGGGTGGGTGGGGTAGCATGCGCCCTCCCAAAGCGTGTGTCCTAATCCCTGCCTCTGAGAGGAGCAAGGACTGATTCTCCTTCAGAGAGGAGGAGACACGCAGCAGGAAGGAAATCCAGGCAGGTTGGAGTCTGAGTCTGCAAAAGCAGCCGCAGGGACTTCAGTCGGATGGCAAGCATGGTGGACCTCAGACTGCAGGCCTCAGGGAGACTGGCGCTAAAGCAAATGCCGGTGAGCAGGTGTAGGACACGGTTTCCTGCTTTTCCTCCGTGACACCAGTCAGTAATTCTAGCCCTAGCCCTGGACTGCTCTCTGGGCACTCTGCATGGAGGATGCTGCCATTGCAGGGAAGGGAAGACAACAGGTCCGCGCCCCCAGGTTGGTCCTCCACCGTGCTGGGCTGGTGGTGGGCACCTTTAAGTGGAGCTGTCCGAAGACCTGCCAGCTCCTTCTGTCATAAGGCACCCAGCCCTGGGCTCTCATCCACATGTGTGGAGGTGCTGTGGGACCATGCGCTTTGCCCTACTTGAGTGAAAACCACCCTAAATATTTTATTTATTTATTCACTCAGTGCTGAGATCTTGTCCAGTGTTTTGTCCATACTAAGTACTTGTTCTACCAATGAGCCAGTGTAGCTTAAAATATCTCTTAAAAGAGGGTTCCTGGGGCTGGGGACATGGTCAGTGTTACCTAAGTGACCGACTCCCTTGGGACCCAAGTAAAATGCCTGGTAAGCATGGCAGCCATCTGTAATTCTAGCCCAAGAAGATGGAGAAAGGGTGTTCTCGGAGCAAGCTGACTGCCTAGACTAACCACATCAGTAAGCTCTGGGTCAACTGATATATGTTGTCTCAATGAATAAGGTAGAAGAGTGATAAAGGGTAATTCTCCTATAATCTTGGGCCTCTGCATGTCCAGTCATACAAGTGCACACCAACCCTGACTCCCAAGTGCTCACACACATGCAAAAACATACATATACACACATGCATGCCTCACACACAGGAAAAATTAAACACTACAAAAGAGGGCTTCTGTGGGGCATGGTGATGCATGCCTGAAATCACAGTACAAGGAAGGCAGAGGCAGGAGGATCAGGAGTTTGAGGCCATCCTGGAATATATAAAAAAAGAGACTATCTGCAAAATCCAGCCAACCCAACCAGCAAGGGCTCTGACTTTAGCCCCAGCCCCATGCCACAACTTTGCATCCCTTCCAACCATGCCTTCTCTTCCAACTTCCCATACATGTCATCTAATCTGCAGTCAGCAGAGAGTGGTCAGCTGAGAGATACTGTGCACATAAAGTGCATGCTGGTCCCTGAAGATGTAGACAAAGAAGAACCTTAGGTTGTTAATATATTCCACATTGGGTAATAGTCATTAAATGATCATATTTTGAGTGCATCAGGCTAAAGGAACAATATTAAGGTTCTTTGTATTTAGTTTTTATTTTTTAAAAGTGGGAAATGCCCAATGAGTAGCAGATTGACTTATTCTATTTGTTTTGCACCCTAGTGATCTAGACTGTGTATGTGAACATGATTGGTTCATAGGGAGTAGCACTTTTAGGAGGTGTGGCTTTGTTGGCATGGGTATGGCCTTATTGGAGGAGGTGTGTAACCCCATTATTTCAGTCAACTTCCTGTGGCTTTCATATCAAGATGTAGCCAGCACCACAGCTGCCTGCATGCCACCATGCTCCCTGCCATGATGATAATGAACTGATCCTCTGGCACTGTAATCTGCCACACCAATGAAATGTTTTCCTTTATAAGAGCTGTCATGCCTCTTCACAACAACAGAAACCTAACTAAGACAGTATATATATATATATATATATATATATATATATATATATATTTCTTACTTTTCCTTATTTCTTTATTTGGGACAGGATCTCAGGTAGTCCAGACTGGCCTCTCTCTCTCAGTGGTCTTGAACTTGTGGTCCTGCTACCATTTACTGAGTTGTGGGATCACAGTATTGTACTAACATGACATATCCAGTTTATGTCGTGCCAGGGGATCAAACCCCAGGGCTTAGTGCATGCTAGAAAAAGAGTCGACCAACTGATCCACTCACCTAATCCTGGACCCTGTGTATTAATCATCAGTCTGTAGCTGTGTGAAATCCTGCATGGAAGGATGAAACGTGTACAGCAAAGAAGGAAGAAAGGAAGAGGAGGAAAGGAGGGAGGAAAGAAGTTTCTGTGTCACGGGGCACATGGGAAGAACATGAACTGGTACCCATCTTATGGAGTCACCCTGACTTCTCTGGGCTATAATTTGAGATGGGGTTTAGAGCTACCTGACAGGATTATCTCGAGTTTTAGGAGTCTATTTCAGTGGCGACATAAATGCCTTTCACAGTATGTGTGTCCATGGAGGTGAGGGCATGGCACTCTCTTGATGTCATCTTCTCTCCCATATCTCTCCTCCAGGTTGCAGCTTCTTCACCTGTACTCGGTGTGCTTGCTGGTGGGACTCTTCTCTTTTGTCCCCTGGGGACCTGTCTGGGAAGTTCCACAGTTCCACTGGGATAACTGCCGGCAAGTCTGGTGGACGAATCTGCTGTTGCTGAATAACTTCATATCTGTTCAGAATGCCGTGAGTTCCCAAGAGCCGATTTGCAAGGGCATATCGGTGGACACAGGATGTCTGAGTCACATGGTCTGGCCAGTTTCCCAAGGGCCAACCTAAGCCCCATCTCCATGAGTTTTGGGAGCATGGCAACACTTGATGGAGGGGTCCTTGTTATAAAGCAAGAAAGGGGTGCAGTCTGGGTGGACTGTCTGGGTCTCAGGACAGCTCCCCTCTCCACCAACGCTCTTGAACCAGTCCAGGTCACCACACCAGAAAGACGGTTTCTTTGCCTTCACACAGGGCACCTAAGCTGGGGTGAAACATCACAGCAATGCCCCACCCACACCCCACCTTGGTGAACTCTAAACAATTTCAAGCCAATCTGGACAGAGCTGGTTTGGAGCCACCAGGTCTATGCCTACATAATCCAAATCTTCATCATTGTCCCAGTTTGCTTTCTATTGTTTTGTTAAAACATCAGGACTGAAAACAACCTGGAAGGAAAGGGTTTATTTGGCTTAGACATCCTGTCCATCCCTGAGAGAAGGCAGTGCAGGATCTCCAGGCAGAAGCCAAAGCAGAGACCATGGAGGCTTGGTTGCTCATCATTTCTTTCTCAGTCTGTTTTCTTATGTAACCCAGGACCACCTGCCTAAGGCTGACACCACCCACAGTGAGACTGGGCCCTCCCACAGCAGTTATGAATCAAGAAAAATGTTTCCCAGGCTGCAGAGATGGCTCAGTGGTTAAGAGCATTGACTGGGATGGAAGAGATGGCTCAGAGGTTAAGAACACTGGCTGCTCTTTCAGAGGTCCTGAGTTCAATTCCCAGCAACCATATGGGGGCTCACAACCATATATACATATATAATCAGGTCCTATGCCCTCTTCTGGCATGTAGGCATATGTGCAGGTAGACCACTGCATGTGTAATAAAAAAAATTAATTAAAAAAGTTTTTTGTTTTTTTTGTTTTTTTTTTTTTTTAAAGAGCATTATCTGCTCTTCCAGAGGTACTGAGTTCAATTCCCAGCAACCACATGAATGGCTCCCAACCATCTATAATGGCATTTGATGCTATCTTGTACCATGTAGGTGTACATGTGGATAGAGTACTCAGATACATAAAGTAAATAAATCTTTAAAAAAAAACATTCCCACAGTCTTGCCTAAAGGCCAATATAATGTAGACATTTTCTCAGTTTAAGTTCCTCCCTCCCAGAAGATGCTGGCTTGTGTCAAGTTGACAAAACAACAATACAAATCTAACAGGACAATAATGTGTGAAAGAAAGCGAGGTAGCTATAACTGTCATGTCCTTAATTCTTCCTATGAGCTGAATGGCAGGTCCTTAACTCTTGCCCATAACCATTCGTTTATGAGATGGCCAAGCCCAGCAGCATTGACGAGGAATCCTCCATGACGTCCTCTTGCGAGTGAGGGCATGTCTGTGATAGGCTCCCAGGAGACAGGTGGAGCCATTTCCCTAGACACGGACTAGCTTGGGCCATTGTAGAAATCAAGGGCAAGGACAGGAACAGTTGCCTCTTTGAGCAGAAGCCTACCTTAGATTTTTGGAAGCCATGGCCCTCTAGCCTGAGCACTCATAATTTCCCCAAGGCCAAGATATCCTTTTAAATGTGACAATGTTTCCCTCTATGTTGAGGGAGTTTGGGCTCCTTTGGGCCCTGGGACCCATCGTGACAGGAAAATCATCCTTAGGAATTTCTTTATGTTGACAATGGCCAGCTTCATCTACTGCAAGCATGGAGAGTGGGTGTGCCGCTGTGGCTTTGGCCAGGCAGCCATGTTAGTTCTAGTGGGAACGCTGTTTGCAAGCCAAATGTTTGCTTTCAAAAGCACACAATTTCTCCACCTTGAGCTGGGAGTGAGAACCAGGCAAGGGAGAGAGCCTCATTGGCTTCTTGGAATTCCAGTCACACCATAGGGACAGCCACCTCCTGCATTCCTGAATCATGACTCCAGTCAGTTCCCATGGCTGTCCTAGGAGACAAGCTATATTGGTTTTTAGAACCAAGAGAGAAATGTGTCTGAATGTCCACGAGATCTGTCATCAGGCTTGGTTCAAAAACCCATCTGAGGACAGATGGAGGCTGCCTAGTTCTTCTTCCCATGGAAGCCGCCCCACCAGCCTGCTCAACTCTCCCCCATAGACCAAACAGCAGATGCTCACCAGCCCTCCAGCCCTGCTACCTGGAAGGGCGGAGCCACACTCACTTCTCCTTTTCCCCCAGTGCAACGGCTGGACTTGGTACCTCGCCAGCGACTTCCAGTTCCACCTCGTGACACCGTTGATCTTCTTCGTCCACGGAAAGTGGGTCTGAGATTCCCCCCTACCCCCACCCCACTCCCATGTGTCCTTTGGCCTGGACCTCTCAGAGATGTTCCAGCTTGGTAGAAGGCAGCTTTTTAAGAAGACCAACCTTCCAGAAAGGGAGGCACACCACTCCCCCCACTGCCCTCCTTCCACGCCCTCTTCTAGTTGTCACGCCCTCTTCTAGTTGTGCGTAGATCATGTGTTTCCCCAGATTTATCGCCAGAGTGTGTGGTAGCCAGTGCTTAGCATTTTCCATCCCAGCTGTTCACATAAACATATCCACAAACTGACACAGCCCGCGTTTCAGGATTTACATTCCATCTTTATGGTTGCGTATCTGGATGGTGCCCAATTTTTCACGATTGTAAATGGCACTGTGATGACTGCCTTGGAACACTCTACTTTTCCCTGTAGCTATTTCCACGGGGAGATATTTCTATGTGGAATTACCAGGTCAAAGGGTGGCAATGATTCCTAAGTGTTTGTTACATACTGGGAAATTATTCCCCGGAAAGAGGGAAGTAATTTACAGTGCCCTTAGCAATGTATCAATGTACCTGTGTCCCACAGCCGTATCTATCACCTTAATTGTGTTAGTTTTGGAAACACTTTATAGCCTCAATAATTCACGGGGAGATTTATAGTATGCCACTTTAAAAAAGAAATTTATTATTCTTTCTTGTTAAAATATGTGTTCAATTTAGGAAACATTAGGATTAAGAGAAAGGGAAAAATCCACCCCGGTCCATCACTCATGGCAAACTAGGTTCAGTGTTAAGTCCCTGATGCTGTCTTTCTGATTATTTTTCCAGTCCAGTTTTTAATAAAAGATGACAGCATGCTACTCCACAGCTTTTAAAAATAGTTTTACTGTATTATCTTACTGATTGTAAACATAACTGAAATGTCTGCCTAACATTCAATTTCCTGAATGAAGTATAATTTACTTGTTGTACCTTCGCCCATTGTTATTTACTTGGATTGTTTCCAATTTTATGCTTTCATAAATAACTTCCCATGAATATTTCCATGACAACCATTTGTCTCCAACTCCAGCATTTCTTCAGAATGCATATCCTGAGGGGAATTAATGGGTCAAAGGGCATGAGTGTCTTGCAGCTCTTGAATCACAATGGGGAAACTACTTTTAAAAAATGGAGACATGAGTGTTCCACATTTCTGTGCCATAGAAGATCCTCACAGTCCCCACCTGCCCCGTTCTGTCCTGAGTAACCAGACAGTGCCTCACTTAGAGCTGGTGTTCTCAGACGTTTTCCTTGCCGCAGAATCCTGCAGTATGACAGCTGGGACTCCTTTGTGCACAACCCCTGAGTGTACAGGAGTTAATGTGTGTAGCCAGGTATGGAACAGAAGATATCGGGAAATGCATTTTTTTTCCTGCATCCTCTCAGACAGTTCTGAGGCACATTACATAAAGTTATAGAACATTCTGGAAGAACTGAGTGGTTGGCCTCCCCCACAGCTTGGCATGTTTTGGCTCTCCCTGCCTTCCTGCTTGCCTTCCCTGCTCCCACAGGGGTCCTCCCACATCCAAACATTTGTGCATGGAAAGTTGGGTTCCCATCCCTGCTCTATTCTCCATCCCCTCCCCTGGAGCAGGTGTCTGTGTCCCATCCTGCCTTGAACAACTTACTTCTCTCCTATGTCAACCATCACTTATGTCCATATAGTGTTCTATAGATGACATCTATAGATGACAAGCAACATTCCCAATGTTCCCAAGAAACTGTGGCTCCTTTTGAGCCACAGTATAAGCTACTGGGCAGGGCAGGCAAGGGTGGTATTACTATCCCTGTCTAGAAGAGAAACCCAAGTTCAAGGTCCTGTCCACGGCCTCACTGCTGGTCAGTGGTCACGATCAGGCAGTTCAGGAACTTCCAGCCCACCCAGCTTTCCCTGCTCAGTTGAAGTCCCCTTTCCTCCCTTGAAAGGAAGGCTCCAGGGCTCCTGGGATTGTAGCACCTCTTTCATGTTACAGTGAAGGCAACTGACAGTAGCTCTGTGCTCTCTCATCTACAGAAATAAACGTGTCCTTGTCCTGCTCGGGGCCCTGCTGTTCCTGACATCTTTCACTCTCACTGCTCTGCTCACATTGGCTTATAAACTTCCCGTGGCATCTCCATCAGCAGCCAGGTAACACGGGTCCAGCGTGGTCCTCTCAGTCCCTTGCCTGGCCACACCAGGGCTGGGTTATCCCAGGGAAGTCTGCAGAATCATCAGGCTGTTGGTCCTGCACCCATCAACTTATGGAAAAATTGGGTTCCACAACTATCTGGATGAAAGGTGTGCATGGTGTGTGTGTGTGTGTGTGTGTGTGTGTGTGTGTGTGTGTGTGTGTACACTAAAAATGCATTCTGCTCAAGGAAATGCTTCTCAGAGAACAGGAGTGCCCCCATGTGGCTGAAATGGGGTTCTCCCATAGTGTAACAGACACCTTGCTGGATGGAGAAACTGAAGCCAAAATGAAGTCGCCGTTACCTCTTCAAGGTCATGCAGCACCTAAGGGGTGGCATAGGTGTTATTTGAACTTGGGTTCTAACTCCCTAAGCACTTTTGCCTCCACAACAAGCTACTTATGATCCTGCCATATAACCCGGTGTGTTAGAAAGGAGGGAGTCTTCCCAATTCAGCAGTCAGAACTGCACAAGTAATAATCAGGTGAGCCAGGCGGTCGCTCAAATTCTTCCAAAAGCCACCTGGCTGTAACCTTTTATTTGCTGACTTCAGATCAACCACACTGGTCTTCCAAGCCTATGCTCTGCTCTTCTCCCAGTCTAGAATGATCTTCCATTAGCACCTGAGATCTGTCAGGGTTGCTCCCAACACTTTTCAGATAATTCGTGCAAATGTCACATTTTCCGAAGCAGCCCTTCCTGACTTCCCAGTAAACCACCAGCCTAGTGGGGCTGGGAAGATAGCTCAGTCAGTGCTCACAAGCAAGCATGGGGACCTGTGTGCGTGCTCTAATACACACACACACACACACACACACACACACACACACACACACTCAGAGCATCATAATGCATGCTTGTAATCCCAATGCTGTGAGATGGAGACAGGTAGATCGGGGCTTGCTGGCCAGCAAGCCTAACCTACTTGGTGATTTCTAGGCCAATAAGAGACCATGTCTTAAACAAACAAACAACAAACCCAACTGCCACCACCAAAGAACATGGCATGGCTCAGACAGTAAAGGTGCTGTATGCCTGAGGACCTAAATTCAATCCCGGGATCCACATGGTAGAAGGAGAGAACTGATTCCCATTTGCAAGTAATTCCACTGCCAGCCTCCTGGCTACGAGAGCATGATCTCCTTTCCATGTTGTGTCATCTGCTTTTGTGGGTGTCCTGGTTGGCAGAGGAGGCAGCTTACTTATGCCTAGCCCCATGGTTCTTACCCCTAGGGGCTCATTAGAATCACTTGGGGAGTGTTATTTGTTGGGATATTTTGGTTTTCTATTCTGATTATGTTTCTTTTTAGACAAGAGTCTCACTCTGTAACTCAGGCTGCCCTCAAGTGCACGGAGCAGTGCGGGCTGGCCTTGAACTCATAGTCCTCTTGCCTCCGTCTGGGATTAGTGCTGGGACTAGAAGTGTGCACCACCACTGCACCTTTAGAAGTACACAATAGAGGCTTCCACCCTAACTTGGACCAATTGGCTAGACTTCCCAGTGCTAGCACCGGGAGATGGCGTTTATAAGAGCTCCTGGTCAGAGCTGAAGAGCTATCCATAGATCTTGCAACAACTTCCCCACCTCTGATTAACATGTGTGTGGGCATCGAGGGGACCTCAGCTAAATGCATCTTCCAACCTCCTTGGGAAAGGGTGAAAACTTCCCAGTAAGAGGTCTCAAGCTTGTCAGTACTTTGGAGTGCCAGGGAACTTTGATAATCCTCAGCCCTGGGTCCCATCTCCATTTGTGACAAACACTGTGGGCAAGACTTTTCAAGCTTGGGACAATGAGATGACTTGGAGGGTGTGTTACCACGCATGACCACTGCCAGCTTCTTCCTAGTCAGTATTCCTGGGGGAGGAGGCATCAGTCTGGTTTCCTAATAGGCTCTCAGATCTGCTGCTGCTGGCATTGGGGACATAGCTTGACAACCACAAGCATTGAATAGCATGGTTTCGGTCATTTATTTATTTATTTACTGAGACAGGGTCTCTCTATACAGCCCTAGCTGCCTGGAACTAGCTATGTAGATCAGGCTGGCCCAGAACTCACAAAGACCTGTCTGCCTCTGCTTCCCAAGTGCTGGGATTGAAAGTGCTCACCACCATGCACCAGCTCTCAAATGTCTCCCGCTGGTTTGGAACTCCCCTTCTTTCCCAGATTCTTCTGGGTACTAGATTCATTCCTAGAGGCCACCTCGAAAGAGGAGTGTTTAAAGCAGATGAAGTCACTATACGTCCTTGAGATCTAGGTACAGAGCCCAAGGAAATTTAGAATTTAAGCAAGCCAGCTGTGACCCAAGGGCCTAGAGTCTAAGGCCTCGGCGGTCACTGTGTGTAGATCGTTATTGGGAATCTAGCTCTAGATATGGGGATCGCCCAGAGGACAGTCCCTCTTCCTCCTCCAGCTCAAAACTGAGTGTCTGCCTTGCTTCCTTGTTTGTTTCCTTCCAGTGAAAAGGAATCTGTGCTGTATTTCTCAGAGTATTACACCAAGCCCTACTGCCGGTGTGGCCCATTCCTTGTGGGCCTCTTCCTGAGCATGTTCATGCATTCAGACCACCCTACAAACACTCTCAAGACTACGGTATGTTGTCCCCTTGCCTTCCTGTAAAGGCATCAGTCTGACTAGGATGGATGTGGCCTCTCTGACTTGTCTCTTCCAAGATAAGTGCAGACAGAACCAGGTTGCTGGATTTGTTACTGTGCTGTGGTGTGTTGTAAAGCTAAATCACGAAGGGGACTTTTCTTCTAGCCTGAGTCCAGTCCTCCCTTCCTGAGATAAAGGACCAAGAATCCAATTGCACTACTGGGGCACACCTGTTGCCCCCTCCAAGGGCTTTGCATGACATTCATTGATCTTGGCTTTATCATAGACAGTTCAGAGAAGAGGCTCTGGTCCTTGGGAAATCTTGTATAACTCACAGCAACATCAGGAAATAGGATTTTCTGGAGGTGGTGGCACACAACTTTAGTCCCAGCACTCAGGAGGCAGAGGCAGGCAGATCTCTGTGAATTAAAAGCCAGCCTAGTCTACAGAGAGAGTTCCAGGACAGCCAAGGCCACACAGAGAAACCCTCCTTTGAGAAATCCCCTCTACTCCCCTTAAATTCCCCAAACCAAACCAAAATAAAACAACAAACAAAATCCCCAAAACAAATCAAAACAACAACAAAAATACCCCCAAAACAAAATCACCCCAACAAGCAAGCAAACAAACAAAAAGCTTGGAAGAGTGTGTCCTTTATGTCAGCATTTTGATGTTCTGGAAATGGACCGTCCAGCTGTAGACTATAACGTCAAAGAGACCCTTGAACACAGCCCAGGTGCCACGGGGCTCCAGGGAAAGCAGGGTATTAGGAAAGGGGAGAAGGTAAGACAAAGGGGAAGCATGGGGGAAGCATGTCAAGAACAGTGTTGGGGGCGGGAACATGGAGCTGGGGATACAGACACACTGAGCTGGAGAAACAAACTGGAATGTTGGGAAGAATGAGGACTCCAGTTCCTACTGGAGGGAGCCAGGCATGCAGTGGCTTCCAGGAATGAGGCAGGGAGGGGCCTGAGAGCAGACTGGAGGGCAAGGAGCAAGGACGGCTTGAGCTCAGGTGTGTTTCTTGAGGTTGCAGGCCTGCTGACACTAAAGAATTAGCGAAGGGTGAGGCCCTAACACTGACTTAGTCCAAACTAAAAGAGTAGAAAACCTTACCTTCCTTCCCTACAGTCAATGGAGGACAGGTAGATGAGCTCCAAGTAGGCCTCAGAGACAAGATGGTAGACAAGCTTCTTCCTTCATTCAGCCTGCTCATTGTGGCAGCCTATGAGCTAGAGCACAGACGAGCAAGAAGGCCTTGGAAGACAGGTCTGAATCTGAAGAGATCAAGAGCTGTGGTGTAAATTCCAGGACTTAAACCAAGTCAGGCGATGGGACCTAACTCATCTGTTCTCCGAGCTAGAAGTTGCTCTCCTCCCATTCCTCAAGGTGCCTCTTCCATGCCATTGAGGCATCCTTTTGATTAAGGGACAGAGTGGAACATTAGGAGTGTTGGAGAGGGACATTTCTTCTGATTTTAAACTGATTATATATTTGTGGGAAATGGTAAAAACAAACCAACAAACCAACAAAAAACATTATGAGAGAGCCTGCATGTCCTTCAGCCTGGCTGTGCATTAGGCACTGAGCCAGGGAACCATGGTATATTATCCTCCCCAGGAACTGAAACCCACAGACCTTAGGCTGCCAGTTTCCCCTTACACACACACACACACACTCTCTCTCTCTCTCAATCTCTCTCTCTCTCTCTCTCTCTCTCTCTCTCTCTGTGTGTGTGTGTGTGTGTGTGTGTGTGTGTGTAGAGTTCTGGGAATTGCTGTCCTGTGTAGAAATCTGCAAACGACATTACAATCAAGGAACTGTTCTTTCCTGTCCTCATAAGCCCTTAATCCCTCACCCCCAGCCCTCCCTGCTTTTCTCTGATTAGACTGAGGCTTATTAAAAACCAAACATGTAAGAGTAGCTGTGTGACTATCAGGATGGGAAGGTGCCCAGAGGGAGGGGAGATGGGGTATGTGTGGATTGGGAGGAGCAAATATGATCCAAGCACATTATGTGCATGCATGAAATAACGTATGATGGTTGAACATGCAGAGTCATTGGGTCACTCAATAGGTAATTATTTTGTGCAATTATGTTTTGGTTTTTGAGGTGGGGGTCTCTATGTAGCCTAGCTGGCCTTGAACTCATAGTTCTTCTGCCTTGGTCTCCTGAGCAACAGGATTATAGACGGATGCCACAACACTGAGCTCATCTCATCCCTTTATAGTCACACACACCCTTCACCCCCAGTGTTCCTAACCCCTGCCTACCACTAAGCGATCTCTTATTTTAGAGAAACCTGCAGAGATTGAAGTTTACATAGAGAGATCTGAAGTGACAGAAATGTCACCAAAGCAGTGAGCATGTGTGAAAAGATGCATGATTCATGAACTGTGGGCTGCCGCTTGTTCCCCTCAGGTGCAGGCCGTGCTGGGCTGGACTTTCTCTCTGCTGACCCTGTTTGTAGTTGTCGCCCTGGCGTACACAGTGGATGATACCTCTCCAGCCTCTTCCATGGCTGCTGCCATCTACCAGGCCCTCCATCGGACCCTGTGGGCAGCTGCTGTGGGCTGGATCATCTTTGCCTGTCAGGAAGGCTACGGAGGTAGGAGGGGGCCACTGGCTCTGCTCTTGGGCTCATACCCTGTTCCAGAGGGTGACAGAGTTAAAAGTCAAGGTGTGCACCCAGGGGCAGGGAGGGACCATTGGTACAACGGAGAAAGAGCATTTTGTCTTTCTCCTTGGGGTAAATGACTCCTACATGTGATTTTTAATTTTGGTGTTGGTTTGAGTTCCTCTATAAAGCCAGTTAAGAGGTACATGAGAACTCTGAAAAATAGTGGGGAAATGATGTAGTGTAGTTACTGAGGACAAGGCTCTGACCACACCCACCTTAAACCTCAGTTTCCATCCAAAAAGAGGAAGCCAAAGAGTCACTAAGACCTCTTCCATAACCAGGGAGAATATCTTCGTGTCATTGGCTTTTGGCATGCAGAGGGGCCAGCAGATGAAGGGCATATATAGGAAGAGAGAAATCTCCTGATTAGAGAGAGATGGTCAAGATTCATGACATTCTCTTCCCTTTCTCTAATTGGCCTGAGGTAGGAATGAAGTCAAGAGGTACCACGAAACATCATTCAGGCACCATCCAAAAAATTCTGTTTCCAAACTTCCTTGAAACCTTAAAGCCATGGAATAGGGAGATGGTGTGGGGGTGGGCAGGGCAGCTGTGTACTGGAGGGACATCATTGGATGAGGTCAGAATTAGGCTGTAAATGAAAACTGTTCCGCTTCAGCCAACGTGGTGGGAACCCGTGGCTTAAAGAGAAAACGTGTTTCCCACTTGCTGATTGAACACACAATCTTCCAGGTCTTGTGGAAACAGTTGCCAAAGGGGCCACAGGTGTTACCAGTGGTTGGGGGCGGGACTATTTCCAGGTGATTCACTTAATTGGATAAAAATGTTTGTATATTTGTTTTGTGCTAGACAACATTCTATATATTTGGGATCCGGCAATAGATAAGGAGGGATTTTTCCCCCTGCAAGGCATTGCAATTGGGTGGTGACAGAGGAGGCTAGGAGATGTCAAGAGACAGAGTAGGGGTCTGCAGGGTCTGGAGAGATGACTCAGCAGTTAAGAGTGTTTGTTGCTGAAATACTTACGTTTGGTCCTAGCACCCATGTTGGGCAGCTCACAACCACCTCCAGCTGTAACTTCAGGGAACCTTCTTCTGGCCACCAAGGGACACACGCACACATTCGCGCACACACACACACAGAGGCATGCACACACAAATGCAGGCACACACGTGCATGCTTTGCTAAAAAGAGGGTACCTGCAATGTGTCAGGTAGCATCAGAGACAGGCTTGCTACTCTGACTCTATACCTCTTCCCACCAGGTCTGGTGAAGCGTGTGCTTTCCTGTGGCATCTGGCGTCTCCCGGCTGCTATCAGTTACGCTTGCTACCTCATGCATCCCATTGTGATCATTCTCTATAACGGACTGCAGGAGACCCTTATTCACTACACTGACACCAATATGGTGAGCAAGTGCCCAGCCTTTGGTCCTGTCTTAGCTCCACCACTCACTCTACTTGAGCAACAAAGCAAACAGCTTTAACAGGTCTTGTTAGGAGCTGGCTCGGTGCTGTTCTTTTCTAGAGTTGCTCTGCTCTCTGATGTAGCTGCGGGAGGGAGGGGGAGGGCTTCAGTCCAGGACAAACTGTTTTAATGTTTGGGGCTGTTTATTCTGCTTTGCTTCGTAGCATTGGGGCTGTGTACGCTCAGATCCAGACACGGGGGAACCAAAGGAATAAACTTTCCTCTGTGCCCTCTTTGTCCACAGTTCTATCTTTTCTCTGGACACTGTGTGTTGACCTTCCTCTCTGGGCTGGCCCTGACACTGCTCATCGAGCGGCCATGGCAGGAGCTGAAGTGGGGCCTGTGGGGACCAGTGTCTGCTGGGCCGTGAGTATTCCAACTGAAACCCAAGAGAACCACGGCCCACCTGTGGTTCTCGGAAGGAATGTGGATCTGGTTTTGTGGACATTTACTGTGGACAACGTGTACAGATAACCCGTGTTCACTATAAAAAGCAATTCTATCATGATTGTTTTTGTACTTGTACAATAATCTCTCCCCCCCTCTTTGCTTGGATCTGCTTTTCTGTGTCGGTGACCACACTGTTAAAGCCAAAGCCAAACCATAAAAAGCCACACAGTTGCAATCTTCCTCTTACATGACCTTGGCTTTGCTTGATTTGAAAACATAAGCAAAATAGAAGATGAACTACTTTGTATAAATTTGAATATTAATGAAAAACAAAAAATCAAAAGCAACCAATCAGAAGTAGACAAAAAAGCTTACATAACTAGGAGCTCTCCAATGGGAAGAGATGGAAGAAACAGCTGTGGAAATGTAACCAATCCCGTTGGCTTGGCTTCCATGCTGCCCCGATGAGTTCCCATGTGAAGGGCCTGGACCACATTGGGTTTGGAGCTGCCCAGGAACTATTAGTGTTTGCTCAAATAAATTCTGCAACTTTATTGTGCCTCAGTTAACATTTTAGCATTATGTAATCACCTAATGTAGAGCGCATATCATGATTTGAGTCCTAAAGCTCCTGGTTTATACATAAGGCTGTTATCCTCACCAAAGTCATGTCACATAGCTGTCCACATGTGTTATTGTAGAAACAACTAGCTTTGTTCACATGTTGCTATGATACCTGATAGATTTGTAACTTTATTTGGGTCTGCAGGGTGCTGTGACCTGCTAGCATTTATGTCCCATGAGACTTTGTCAACATAGGCTTTTAAAAGTCATCTTTCCTAAAACATGGTTCTGTCATGAGCTGAATTGTGTCCATTCCCCTAAAAGACCTGTTGAGGTTTTAGTCCCCCATACCTCAAAATGTTGCCTTTTTAGAGAGAGAGATTTCCAGGGTTCTTATGTTAAATGAGGTCTCTGAGACATGAGGACCCAATTTAATGACTAGTGTCCTTATAAAAAAAGACATACACACACATACACATTCACACATACTCATGAACACACTCACACACACGTACATACACACACTCACACACATGAGGGAAGATGATGTGAAGACATTGTACATTCTTTCTCACACACACACACATACTCACACATACTCACATACACACTCACACACACACAGAGAAGATGATGTGAAGACACTGGATAAAGATGACTGTCCTTCATCTCAGGAAGCATTAGAAGTAGCAAGTAAACTGTTTTAGAGCTCTAGAGGAGTGTGGTTCTATACACACACACACACACACACACACACACATACACACATGCACACACACATTTACTCACCTATACTCACACATTCATACACACACTCTCACATTTATACACACTTACACAGTACACTCATATAGACACATTCATACATGTGTATGATAGACATCTGGCTGCCAGCAGTGTGAGACAAGGACTATTTCTGCTGTTTTAAGCCATTTAGCTATAGTATTTTGTTACAGTAGCCCTAAGACACTATAGTGGGTGGTCCCCTTAATCTACAGAGACTACATTTCTGGAGTCCCCCATAGATGACTGAAGCTGGAGACTACCAACCCCAGTATGTCTGGATATATATATATATATATATATATATATATATATATGATAAAGTATAATTTATAAATTAGGTGAAGAAAGAAATAAACAATAACTGATAGTAACATATTAGGACAATTATAATATACTGCAATATACTAATTATGTAGCTATGTAAACAATACTTTACAATAAATGTTTTGTGAATGTGTCCCCTCCTCTCTTGAAGAAGTACTTTGTACAGTCTCTTTGGCTGTCTGAATTGCCAGCATCATTACTCTTGGACTTTGGGGCCGTTATTAATTACAATCAAGATCCCTAAACACAGACTCTATGACACAGAGGTTCTGATCTGCTCCTAAGTGGAAAACAGGAAGGCACCTGTTGGACCAAGGGGTGATTCATTTTTGGGGAGAATGAGGATAGAGATTTCATCATACAACTCAACTCGGGGAGTGAGTGCAAAAGGAAGTGTTTAGCATGTTCAGACAGAGAATAACTGTGAATAACTGAGCACTGGGAACACAAACACCAGGGACAGTGGACTGTTGGCATGTAAGTGCCAGCCAAAAGTGCCACGAGCGAAGGGACCTTGGAATGGCTTCTGTCTCATCCGCCTCAGTTTCTACCAAGGAGCAGATACAGGGAATAATACTTGCAAGGTCAAATGGAGAACCTGGGTCCCAAGGTTCCCTGTGTTGAGTCTTTTTCTACACGTGCAACATGGCATTGAGTGATGTCTAACACTGTTTATAACGCAGCTGCCTTTGTTTATGTAGTAATGGAAAGATGAACTAAGAATGATGGAAAAGCAAGCCAGTAAGTAGTGTTCCTCTATGGCCTCTGCATCTGTTTCTCTCTCCAGGTGCCTGTCTTAAATTCTGCCCTGACGTGCCCCTGGGACGGAGTGCGACCCGAGAGAATTGTAAGCTGAAATAAACCATTTCATACCTTAAAAAAAATAAAACAAGCAACAAAACAAAACACCAGGAGTGATGGGGCTACAGGGTGCTCACATCTGTATGTTCTCTGTTGTCTAGCAGATGTGTAAGGAAAACCATTGCCTGGTGGGAGGACTAAGTCAGCAAATCCTCTGATAAGACATATAGTAGCTAAGGTTGACCTTAGTCATCAAGCACTGTAGGGGACAAAGGATAGCTTCCTGAGGCCTGTTCCCTTCTGTTGGCAGAACCTGATCTGCACCAGGGAAAAGTCCAGCTACATCTGGGCATTTCATTCTCCCCTGTGATACAGCTGCCAAATTGGCTTTTAGGCAACTCTGACCTTCAGCAAGTTCCTCGAGTGCCCCCTGGTGGCTTCACAGGCTTCTGAACCCTTTTTCTTTTCTTTTCTTTATTCATATTTATTTTACTTTTTTGGGTGGGGTGGGGAGTTGGGGATTCCCCTTGCCAACTCCACTCTTATCAACGTCATAACCTCATCTTTAATTGTTTTCATTACACACACACACACACAGAGAGAGAGAGAGAGAGAGAGAGAGAGAGAGAGAGAGAGAGAGAGAGAGAGAGAGAAGCCAGTCACACACAAGTACTCACACATACAATCTGCCAAGACTATTTACTGTAACTTGTATGAGTATGTTTTTTAGGGCTTACCTCTTGGGATTGGATAGTCTAACAGGGGGCTAGTCCCTGGGGAAGACTGAGTCTCCCTTTCTCAACAGCCCTTAATTGCCTGTTGCCCTTCTTCTAGGGACGGGGCTTTGTGAGATTTTCCCATTCACAATGGAAAAATATCAGCAGATGGCCAGGGTGGAGGTCTTGTTTAGGTGAAAGTATTGTTGATATTTAATGGGTGCAGCTTTCCTCTCATATGTAGAAGATGCTGTCTTGCAGCAGAGGTCCCTTGAACCTTTTAGCGTAACACAGCCACATAACTTAATACAGAGCACTGGGAGGACTGAGGGCAGACTACCAATGTGGCTGCATTCCCTTGGGAAATGACTGGTCTGCCAACATGGTCTGCAGCTCAAGAGCCAATTGCTTCTAGTTGTGTAAGGCTCTAGACACACAACCCATGAGGATAGATTTCTAGTGACTAACACAGCCTTGGAAGACCTTTACAACAACAACAACAAAATATAATAGTTCCATAAATATAAGGGAAGAATAAAGAAACTTAATTTTGGATTTTGTTTCTATTTGAAAATGCAAAATTTCAAGAATGTTTGAAGTTATTTGAATCCTGAATCAACTGTGGTAAAGAATATGATATTTATGAGACAATTAAAATTTGATAGTAGGCATTTGATGATATTGAGGGCAATAATGGTATTGTGGTTATATTTATTTTAAAAGCCTTTATCTTTAGATACATATTGAGATATTTATGGATAAAAGTATATAATAAATCTGATTTCTGCCTCCCAAATATGACTGGAAAGAATTGGCATAGAGGACAGTCCATCAGCAAGATGGGTTGTGTATCTAGTTTTTGAAGCTGGCCAGTGAGTTTATGGGACTTCATTACACATTTTCTCCAATTTAGGCATGTTTGAAACTCATGCAATAACAAGAAAACAAATTTGTAGGAATAACACTTTCAAGGTGGAGGGTTAGTGTTTGAGTGCATCCATCAATTCTTCTAAGTTCTAAGTTGTTACCATCCACCTACCATCTATGGAGATGTGGGCAATGCTTCCAATCCCTGATGCTGTATCCCAGCATCTCCAGCTATCCGTGAGCTGGGCTAGCCTGTTGCTCAGACTCCAGGGTTCATTCCCAGTGCAAATGGTTTCAACAGGTGCCACATGCTGTGTTCTAGGCCTCACTTTGTATTACCCACATGTCCTCAGGTGGGCATGGAAGCAGCCTATTAATGTCCTCATGTGCATTCTGGTCTGCTTTCTGTTGCTGCAACAGATACCAGGACCAAAAGCAATTCGGGGAGCAAATGGTTTATTTCTGTTTACATTTCCAGCTAACTGTCATTGACAGAAGTCAGGGAAGAAGCCTAAGGCTTGAGTAGAAGCAGGAACCATGGAAGAAAGTTGTCCAGGGATGATGGCACCACCCACTATGGGCTGGACGTTCCCGCATTAATATCTGATCAAGAAAATGCCCCACAGACACATCCACAACCAGTTTGAGTTAGACAACTCTAATGGAGCTTCTTTCTTCCCTAAGTGTATCAAGTTGGCACTTGTGTTTAGCAAAGACACACTTATTCGGATGCAGTAAGCCTACAGGCATGGCTGTAGGAGTGGGACAAATGGCCACTGCTTTCCTTCTATCCCACTTACTTTTCTATTGCGGTGATAAGACACCATGGCCAAGGCAACTTATAAAAGACACTGCTTGATTGGGCTGATGGTCGAATGAAGGAGCAACAATTCCATTGGCTGTAACCTATTCCCAGTACTGGAAGCTTCATTTGGTGACAAGAGATGTCCAGTTG